TCCCTTCGACCTCCCTCCCTCCCCTCCCCTCCCCTCCCTCCCATCCGATCCATCCATCCATCCATCCATCCATCCATCCATCCATCCATCCATCCATCCATCCATCCGTACATCCATCGCTCCCAGCTACCCTTCCAGCAATCTCCCCATCACCTTCTGCTTTCCATCAAACGTCTCTCCTTCTTTGGGATCAAAGTTTTTTTCAACGTCTACAGGGAGCAATCCTCCTCTACTTGTTCGACACGCCGGATCCCTTCCCTTCATCCCGATCCATCTGCTCTTGAGTAGGAGGCAAGGGAACGACTTGCGCCTGCGGGTCAGCGGTGAGCATCCTAACGGCCTCCAACCAGCCCTACCTCCATGCGGTGCCACAGCTCGAACTTGATGGCCTTGTCTCCCTGGAGCCCCAGTCAGCCGAGCAGGCCGAGCAGGATCTGTCACACCTTGAAGGACGGGAAGACGGTCTTGGAACGGAACACTTGAGGAGGAGCAGCGATCGAGTTGGTTTCCTGCGCCAGGGAAGACTTGAGCTGAGCTCGGGGGGCAGCATCAGGCTCCAGTCACCTCGAGGTAGGAGGCCCAGTCGAAGTATCCGACGTAGCCGTTGGGAGGGGAGAGGCGGGCCTGTGCCCGCATGCTGGTGCCGGGGGGCTGGAAGTCGCCGTCGTCAATCTTGCACCAGTAGTCGTACGACTCTGGCCATCCATCGAACCCGATGAGCACCTGGGGACTGCCTTCATGCCGGAGCCGAGCGGGCCCGGACCTCTCACCTCATCTCCCTTGACCTCCTTCACGGTTGCTACTGTGATGATGTCCCCGAAGAAGCGGTCCACCGCCTCGACCTGCGGCGAAGGCTTAGGAGGAGGAGGAACGGCACCTGCCTCCATCACCTTCATGCCCGGCAACAACCTGGTCGGCTGGCCCTTCTTGTCATATCCAGGACCGAAGGGGCTGCCACAGAGAGCTGAGAGATGGCAGGAGGGAAGAGAGATCAACCTGTCGACTTCCACCTCGAAGATTGCCTCCACCTCAGTGGTGACTCCGAGGGGGAGGGTGTTGACTCCGACAGCAGACCCTACCGCCACACGTCATGACCCTCCCTGGCGTGTCGGGACAAGAGATTCTCCATGGCAGAAGAACATACTTGCATGTCTTCCGTTCTCGCCGAACACATCCACCATCAGGTCAGAAGCTCCGTTGATGACCTGAGTTATCGACCATCACATGCTGGTATGTGGGGAACAGGGCGAGGAGTGGGAAGAGGGGCCAGTGCGGGCACCTTTGGTTGATCGGTGAAATCATCCTTAGAGTTGACAAACCCGACCAACTTAACGACGCGCTTCACCTAGGACACGGGTGAATTGTCTGCCAACCCCTTGCAGCTCCTTCAAAGACCCTTGCAGCTCCTTGGCCTTACCTTGGTCAAGTCACCGTTGCAAGCAGCCTTCACCTTGGAGGGAGACATGTCAGCGGTGATGTTTCACCAAAATGAGGAGAAAGATGTACCTGAGCGATCAAGTTCAACCCGCAGAGCCTGGCGGACTGATAAGCCTCGTCCATACTCTTGTCCGTGGGGACCTGCGGGTTGTGTCAGACAACACAGTGTGCAACCGGTTCATAAGATAATGAGGACAACAATCTGTGCATCATCACCTTTCCCTTGAACTTGATCTCTCCGTTCAAGACTGGGATCTGACCGGCAACATAAACATAGTTCCCAGAAACCACATAGGGAATCTGGACCAAGGGTCATGGCTGCTGTGTACAACGACGGCTCATCGCTCACATAGTTGGCAGCAGCGGATGCAACCTGCGGGAGAGTGATGCCGAGATCTGCTAGCTGTTTCTCTGGATCAACAACGGATGCGGTTTGCGTTTGCATGCGGACTGTGCTGGACGCAAACCTAGCGCGACCTCCCAGGGAAGGGGCGCATTGAGCCGCCCTCGTGTTCTTTCGAGAGCAGAGGGAGGACATAGAGGAAGGGAAGGAAGGAAGAACTCTTGGGTTGAGGATTCTGAGTGCATGGGACGACGAGAAGGCCGAAGCCGTGGCGCACATCGCCATGAACAGCGCAGGCACAGCTCGCATGATATAAGGGAGCAGGTACCACCCCCTACTTTTAATCCGATTACCCACCCATCTGGTATGATCCCTACCCCTACCCCATCGATCAAATGTTTGATACCCTTGCTAGAACGGACCTACCCTACCCCTGTATCCCTAGGCACAAAGTACGATGTTTGTGAGGTGGGGTGCTGTAAAAGTTACATACAACTATGGCGAGGTGGATCCGAGCTTAGAGGAGGAGGAATGCTGGTAGAAATCTTTACAGAGATGTGAAACAGTGGGGAAAACAGATGCATATTAAGAAAGAAGCGAGGGAGAGACAGATAGCTACTTGTATTTGATGATGTTCAGAAGCAGTAAGCATTCCTGCAAAATGTTTCGATGAGACTTTCCCTCTTGAAAATGATATCGGAACACACAGGCAATGGACAGCAGCCATGATTTCAAGACTTCTGGTTGTTCGGCTACTTGCTAGCACAGCTCTCTTCACTCCCTCGCGAGGACTAGCTTCTATGGCTTCGGGTTCTCACACCGCATCGTACAACGAACAGATTCTGCAGCAAGCAGGGTATCAAGAGGGAGACAGGCTGATCCTGTACGACGGAGTCTGCAACCTGTGTAATGGATGGGTCAGAAGCTTCTCTTCCTGACCTGGATCCCCCTGACTCCCTTCAGGTCGACTTTGTCATGAAGAGGGACAGAGAGGGCTTATACAAGTTCGCTTCACTTCAGGTGTTGGACAAGAATGGAGAGGCGGGGGGTTGGAGGATGATGGGGCATGCAGGGAGCTGTTGGCAAGACGCTCATGAAGAGAGTGGGAAGAGATCCCGATGATCTCAGCACCCTGATCGTTCTTGAGCCCATGGACATCATCGCATCACAGCCGGACCTCGGTCGTTTGAGCAGCAGGAAAGAGCTGGTTGTGTATGACAGGAGCGATGCAGTCTTGCGGGTAGATCGATGCGATCGATCTGTTGCTGAGGAGGTGAACTGAGTCTCGTTGTGCAGGTGGTGGAGCAAGTGGGAGGAGGAGCTCTCAGACAGATGGCGCGATGGGCGAGGTGGGTCGTTCCAAGGTGTGCATGCTACGATGAGTTGGCATTTGAGCATTGAATGTTCAACGTGAAAGGTGGTTGAGAAACTTCGTGTACTCGAGGATCGTAGCTCCCAACAGGTACCGAGGAGAAGAGCGGGAGAGCTGAGAAGAGCCCAGGGCTGACTGAGATTGACCGTACAGGTATCTTGTGTTCGGGAAGCAAGAGACTTGCCGGCGAGTTCTGCCGCATGAGAAGAATCGCTTTCTAGATGTATAAAAGCGTGTAAACTAGACCATGAGAGAAAGCACCTGAATCTGCACAAACATAACAAGCCTGCCCGGGAGCTGGCAGGGCCCGCCGAGCCGCCTATGCCCCGGCGGCCGCCAAGTGCCAGTGCCACCGAGTGGCAGCCCCGGCCGGGCCGGCCGGCGATCCGAGCTTTTAGCACCCGGGCCCGCCCCGGCACCGAGCCGGGCTCAGGGCCTCACTGAGTCATCAGTCACCGCCGGGTTAGCGGCCGCCGCTGAGTGTGGCACACGGCGGTAACTAACGGTCGGAGCAGAACTTGACACCAGTAAGTAGTGGCCTCAGTGACTCCAACCGTTCAACGCCGGCCGGGCCGCACTCCGCCGCCGTCCGGCCCCGCTGCCGCCGATGATCCGATCATGGGCCCGGATCCGTGTTTGGTCACATGTTCAGTGCACTCGAGTCGAATATGCCCTAGGGGCTTGCGTCCGCAGTTTTCTGCCTTTTCCTCTGTGTAATTGAGATCCTGAGGGTGGCTCGAGGTTCCTACATTTTATTGCTACGAAATGAACTCGTGGACACGTTCGAAAGGGCGAGAAAAATGAGGTGCGAACATGGCGAATACGAAGGAAGGGAGGGGAGGGGAGGAGGACAGGAAGGCAAGGATGGTAGAAGGAATGGGAATTGAAGTAGAAGGCAAGCAGATTGTAAGGTTTGCGAAAAAGGAGAATGAGGGGATGACGGGTATAAAAACGTAGAGCAATGTAATGTATATCAGGTCCAAGATGTGTTTATTGTTGGAACACATGAAATAGTGTATGATGCTAGACGACGAGAGGAGGAGGAGGAGGAGGAGGAGGAGGAGGAGGAGGAGGAGGAGGAGGAGAGAGACAGAGACAGAGACAGAGACAGAGACAGAGACAGAGACAGAGACAGAGACAGACAGACAGACAGACAGACAGACAGACAGACAGACAGACAGACAGACAGAGACAGACAGACAGACAGAGACAGAGACAGAGAGATGAAGGTGGAGGTAATGATGCAACCACCAAAGAGATTGGGGTGCGACGAATGAGTAGGGCTGGGGCAAGTGACGAGTTTGGGGATGAAGCAGATAGAATTCCATGTGGATGGGAGAAGTGTAAGAGAAGTCCTGGCTGCTCTCTGACTGTATGGGATGATCCTCTCAGGAACCTATTCGAAAGGTTGCTGGTCGTCGTTGGGCTGCTCTCGCTGCTTCCCTTCCTGTTCGACATGTGAGAATCTTGCTCCTCGTCTTCTCCCTCCTCGTCAGTTGTTGTCTTCTCCCTTCTCGTCTTCTCCCTGCCTCCTCCTCCTCCTCCTCCTCCTCCTCCTCTCTCTCATTCTTTCTTTCTGCAGCCTCGTCATCGATGCGCCGAACCAAGCGTCCAGAAAACCAAAGTCAGGGAGAGCAGAGAGCAAGGAGCGACGACGGATTGATGCCAAACGAAACCACGGCCTTTCTCAAATGTACTGCCCCATCCCCAACATTTCGTTGGATGAGAAGTGGCAGAGATACTTCGAGGAGGCGGGCCGGGACGTGCATGAGTGCCCAAAGCAGCGAAAACTTGGGGTGGTTGTATCACTATCAGAACACGAGCAACTCCTTGTCCCTATGAAAGGAACATGCCGCAAGGGGGCTCTGAAGTTCCACTACCTCGACAAGTCCACCTTCGAGTTCACTAGTGTCGTGGTGGAGAAGGAGATGCTGATGCCGAGTGACAGCGGGATTCTCCGCTGTGAGGAGGAAGGGAATGAGGCAGTGACCTTGTTGATGCACCCGATTTTCAATCATGAGAAGTACCAACGAGCCAAGAAGATCGAGGAGGACTTGTGGAAAGGAGGAGGGGATGGTGCAGCGAAATTCAAGAAGTACCATGAACAGCCCAACATCCTGTTCATCATGGTGGACTCGCTCTCGCGCGAGCAAGCTCTGCGAAGTTTGCCAGTTACCCTCGACTTCCTGAAGAAAGGAGACAAGCCCGGGGTCGGGAATCAGTTCCAGATGTATGACTACGAGAGATTCAATGTGGTGAGCAGCGGCACTCACAACAACGTCCCTGCGTACCTTGCAGGAAAGAAGTACAGCGACTTGCAAAACTGGCTGGATCGGGACACGAACAGGTCGGAGGAGTGGATTCTTGAAGAGGCGGGAAGAAACGGGTACATGACGGCGTTTCTCGATGGAGAGTACGTGGGGAGCAAGTCCTCTCTCCCTCGGATCCGCCTCAAGACATTCGAGCATGCAGAGGTGCCGGAGTCGACCATAAAGACTGCGAGGATGATAGCGGAGCAGATGGCCGACCACTCGGTCCACTCCATCTTTGACAAGGTGCTGGAGTGGAGCTCTGAACCTCAACTCCACTCCTTCGGTACACCCACGAAGCGGCTTTGCTTCGGGGGGCAGTCGATCTTCAGCATCTTCGCGAATTACGTGAAGGAGTTCTGGAGCAGCTACAGCCACGTACCCAAGATGGTGTATCTGTCGGTGATGGACGCGCACGAGCCGTCGATGCTGAGAGCAAGGCAGATCGACGTAGAGCTGCGAGACCTCTTGCGGTCCTTGCTGAGGATATCCGTGCTTCGGGAGATTTTTGTAGTCCTGTGCGGGGATCATGGAGTTTGGTACGGCGAGTTCTACGAGGATACCAAGGCGGGCCGGCTGGAATCGAAACTCCCGGCTCTCTTCCTCCTTGTCCCCGACGAGTTCGCGTCTCAGAATGCAGCGATGGCAGCGTACGCCAAGCACAACCAGCCCAAGCTGACGACCCCCTACGATGTGCACGCGACTCTGAGGCACATCATCAACTTGCACAAGATAGGCGAGGGAACACCTCCCTCCTCTCCTCACGCTCTCTCCCTCATGGACAGCTTCCCGGCTACCCGCACTTGCCAGGACGCAAACATCATGCTGGAGCACTGCGCGTGTACTGAATTCGCGCCGTATGACGAGGAACTCCTCAACGGCCTCGAGCTCCGGTCGCTCGGGGGATGGGCGGTAGAGCACATCAACGAAGGCGTCCAGAGGTCGACGAGCGGGGGCCTCACAGAGGAGAAAACTTCTTGCGTCCATCTAGAGTTCGGGTCGAATCTGCGGGCAGAGAGTCTTGAGACGGAGCTGCTGGATGATGAAGTTGAGGGGGACTCGCTGGTGATCATTAAGTTGACAACAAGAGGGTCAGCGTTGGTCACCAACGAAACTTTCGAAGCTGTTTTTGTCCGAAAACTGTTTCCTCTCAAGGAGGGCCTGAGACCTGGACAAAAGTAAGCAGAAGTTTTGTGCGCCACAAAGTCATCATCACCACCACCACCACCACCACAACCATCATCATTATCATCCGCTCACTGCTGGAGTTACGTGCCACAATCATCATCATCATCATCAGCATCAGCATCAGCATCAACTACAACCGTGCTACCATCATTGCCATTGTTATCAGCATGTGATCCCACTCATTTGCGTCTGTCAGGTCAGTGACCAACGGCATCACGCTGAAGAAACTCCGCATGGGTAGAGGGTACGAAGGCAGCACAACCATCTCACAGGCTTTTGAGTGCTCCCTCCTACCTGCCCTGACTCTACCCTCATGCTACAGGACGCCATTCAGCCATTCACTCCTGGAGTGAAGGTGATGATGTTCGTTGCTCAAACTTGGGTGCGTTCCAAACTTCCTCCCTCTCCTCTTCTCACTTCCTCCTTCAAGGCTGTTGTAGAGCATGAGTTCCATATCACCATCCGATGGATCAAACCCAACAAGGAGACATGGAAATACTCTATCAGCACGGTAATTTCTCCTCTTCCCTCCCAGACCCCCTGCTCTGCACCCATCCTGCTTCTTCAACCTTCTTCTCCTCGTCCCCCTTATTGTCCTCTACCTCCTTCTCCTCCCTCTACTTGTCTTCGACTTCCTCCTTCCCATGACTCACTTCCGCTCCCTCTACTCGCCTTCCTCCTGACCGACAGCCGCGGTGCGAGCAGGTGAAACGAGAGTGGTCCGCGAGCTGGCAGAAGAAGAAGATTCTGCTGCCTGTCGAGGAGATGGAGGGCAAGTGGGTGGTGGAAGTTTACCTCACCCAACATTGGGATGGAAAGCAGAAAGAGTTGGTGGACTTCACTCCTGCCCAGATGGAACTCGGCCCTTTGCTGGGGAGAACACAATTCTACCTGGCATCCGATGGAGGAGGAGAAGGTGGAGGAGGAGGAGAGAGGAAGGAGGAGGCGGCAAAGAGGCTTCCCTCCTCTGTACTCAAGGACTTCTGGACAATTCGAAACGTCATCAGGATCTCTCCCTACGCCAAGCACGAGGTCTGCAGGTAAGCTGCTGCAGTCTCGTGTGCTGCCTCGTGAGAGCAGAGAGCAGAGACAAGCGAGTGCTCCCGGACTTCTGCGTCTGTAGAACCTAGAGGAGGAGAGATGCTCGACGGCGTTTCCAGGCCAGACGAGATGATAGTCTGGATGAGGACGAGGACAAGGACAAGGACAAGGAAGGAGCAGGGGGCCTCAGAAACGTTTTTAAATACTCACAGCCGGGTATGATTGATGAAAAAGCCACCCAAAATCAGCGGTCCAGCTGGAGGGTCAGCTGAAGGATCAGCTGGAGAGGAAGAAGGTCTTTGCCTGCTCAAGGGTGGAGAAGAACACTGTTCCTCCCAGCGACAGCCACAAGACCCTGGGAACAAGTCCTGCAAAGAGCGACTGGACCTGCCAGGCCCAGGATCACATGCTGGGCCCCGGGCCCCTCTCCTACTCACCCCTTCGTCTTCCACCATCCTCCTTCCCGTCGTAAAGACGTCGCCGTAGGACTTCTCGCTCTGTCCCGTCCGTGGTCAGCAACTCGACCTCCCCTGCCTCTCGTCCCTTACCTCCCCCGCCTCGTTCATCAGCCTCGCCCTAATCGTGTCAACGGGCGTCGTGACGGCTCCAGTGAAACCTGCCCTTCCTCTCACCAAGATATGACCTTCTCCTCTTCCTCTACTTCCCCTTCCTCCGCCTCTTCCTCGTCAACCCTTACTCATCCTCCTCAACCCTAACATCATCCTCATCCTCCTGCCCTTCCTGCTCCTCCTCACCCCCGGCCAGCGCTCCTATCGCCGCAGTCTCAATATCGCTCAAGGGCGCGTGGGTCAAGGCAAGGATGAGGATCTTGAGCTGCTAGAGCGTGAGGAGGAAGCAGCATGAGCTCTCCTACCTCGCTCACCTGCTCGTATGTGACAAACTCGATCGCGTCGAACGGCAGGTCACGAAGCAGGAATGCCGGGTACCCTCGGAAGAAGCCGGAGGGCCCGTCCTGCCATGGTTCAGCTGGCCATCGAGCTGGGGCGAGACGAGGCAGGGACCTGCTCCAAGATGTTGACAGTGCAGTCCTTCAGAGAGCTCTCTTCTCCGCTCTGTGTATCAAGCACATCATCAAGAACAGCAAGAGCTGAACGAAGCATCCTCAACTTCTCTCCTTCTTCGTCCCTCCCTCTTCTCCCACTCTCATCCCTTCCTTCCCCTCTACCTTCCTCATCCCCTCACCCTCCTTCCCCCTTATCTCACATCTCTCCACCTCTTCATCCTCCATCACCAGTCTTTGCTCACACACCTGCAGTCGAGTCTTGACCACTTCGGTCGGCACTCGGATCGTCGAGGCCGCAAGGTTCCCCTGCGCATCTTCAACTTCGATCACACGAGCTCCTCACCGCACCGCCGCTGATGCCAGTAGTTGTGATAGCGCCTGCATGACATCAGCATGACGAAGGCATTGCAAGGCAGCTCACAGCTCCAGCTCCAAAGACCGGCTCCAGCATGAAGACCTGGCCGCCATGTTACAATCCCTTGGTATCAAGTGAACGACTTGCCTTGGACGTCTCATAGACAGCGAAGAAAAGAGCGGAGGATGGAACGTGTCCTGGAAGTCTGTCATCACCGTCTTTGCAAGATCATCTCACCTGCTAAACTCCCCAACAAGCCAGAGTACAACTTTGGCAGAAGTTCGATGTCGAACTTGACAGTATCTGACACGGATCAGTAAGTGATGAACATGGAACGGTAAATTTGAGGGAACATGACAGACAGACAGACAGACAGACAGACAGACAGACAGACAGACAGACAGACAGAGGACCAAGCTGGTAAAGCAAGACTCATAGCACGTAACGTTCAGCTTACTTCGTGTCTGCAACCTTGTCTTCACTGTATCGATGGGATACAGCACAAGATCCACCGCTGCGCCTGCTATGGCTCCAGATATCATTCCTCCCAGCAGCGACTGTGCAGATGTGGCGGCAGCTAACATGAGAGAGGGATCCTGTCCTCCACTTTCTGCTCCAGCCATCATGGGGAGGAGGCAGCATCCTAAGGGCAGGAGCCTGAAGCTTCGCTGGAGGGTCGAACGGGGATCGAGGGAAGGTACAGCAACAAGTTGTTCCTTCCTGGGCTGTTGAAGAACGCAGCTTGCACTGGCGAACGATGTTGCCCTCCTTGAATGTTGCAAGGAAGCGAATGTACGCGAGAAACATGCAGAGGGCTCAAGGTGGAACGTCAGCAGTACCATCGATACCAGCAATCCCCGCGGCCCCATCGTCCACATGGCGCCTGAGAGCTCTAAGGGGGTCAGGATCGCACAGCTCTTGCTCTTGCGCTCATACAACAGTCAGATGCTCGTCCAGTAGCTCCGTCTCCTCTCTCCTCAGCTCTTCGTCTCCTCCTTCAAGCGACTCCCATCATACTGCACTCTGCCATGGAGGCCCTTTGTATGCGTCGGGGACCACATCCCCGCCTGCTCCACCCGGGCAGCCCGGACGAGGCCGGGCCCGGACGGTAACACTCAGGTGTGCCTGTCTTGTGCCTACAGCTGACGAGGCGGGTCGCGCGAGGGAGGGAAAATGGCTGCAGCGGCGAGTTCCACGACTCTGGTGAGAGACAGAGAGGAGGAGGAGCAGGAGCAGGAGGAATGGTCACTGAAGGAAAGAAGATAATATATAATGAGGAGGAGGAGGAGGAGGAGGAGGAGGAGGAGGATGAAGTGGACGAAATTAAGGGTCGAAAAGGAGGATGTTTCGCAGTGGAATCGAAGATGAACGAGGTGGAGAGGGTTGTTTGGCAAAAGCAAGGATCATAGGAGAATTAAGGGCAGCTGCAGTAAGGAGAAAAAGAGCAGCATGAGAATGGATGAGAAACTTTAGAACCCCTGTGATGATATGAGTCATTTTGCCTCCGAGACTCCCCAGATCCTCGCTGAACGGAAGGAAACAACGAAAAACTTCTTCGCATGCCAGCAGGGCCTAGAAATAAGTTTTGTCAATGCAGATTACCCTCTTTCTTGTTCAATTCTTCATCTCCTCCTCAGCTGCAGCATCCACTCCAACATCGTTTGCCAAGTGGTTCGAAGGGTATCACTTCTGCCTCCATGATAATCCTTGAAATATCGCGAGCTGATCGTGCTGCAGGAAATGGGAAGTTCAGATCATCACGACGCATTCAGGTGGCTTGATCGTGTCGGAGGAGCATCCCGTAGCCTCAGCTGATAGATGCATTACAGATGGTCGTGTCGAGGATGCTCCAAAGAATGGCCAGTATGTCATGAGAAATGAGGAGAGCCGGCTAGTTGGAACGTACTTCGAGAACGTAACCACAACATCCGAGATCACAAACCCGATGAGAGTACGCGTTGAGATCGATTCTGAGTTCAAGGGAGTGTTCAGAACAGCAAGGTCTTGTCGACTTCCATGTGCTCGTGTTCGCTTGTTTGCTCATTTCCAGTGTTGATAGGTCAACGGTTGATTTGTTTTCTGCACCAGAATCCGAGGAGCCCGGTCAGCAAGCTGTGGCATTGTTTCTCTTTGACTGATGATAGACATTGCTCAGAACTCAAGTTCAAGACTCTTTTCGAATTTGACTTCAAGGTTAACGGATCGGTCGAGCCTCGGGCGGTCGTTGATTCTGCGCACAGCTCAACCAGAATGGGCATTACATTTCGACCGGAAGTTGGCATGGGAGGCAGAAAGGAGTGTATCAGGTGGGAGAACGACGTATTGTTGCACATCTTTTCACATGTAAATTCAAACAGTTCTTGATTACGTCACCAAGTACATTCGTATTGACCGTGATGCCGTCGGGCGGTGGGGAGCACAATTCTGGAATACAGACAATCATGGGTATGTGCCATTCACAAGCCGTACATGGGAGCTAACGAGGAATTCGTCAGGTCACAAACCGGCCAAGAAAACTTTCTTGGAGCAGTACGTGGTTGCACACTGTTTCTCCTACTTGATGCTTGATACAGATATGGGCCAACGTTTCTGATCTTCTTTGCGTTCATAGGTATGAAATTCTTTCGACGCATAGGCAAGAAAAGCTCGTTGTTATCTTTGCAGAAGTGATTGATCTGGAGCAGGCGAACGGAAGAAAAGAATGAGAATGCAACGTGCTGCAGTTGCGCGGAACACACCAGCGCAGAAAAGCGAAACAGGAGACAAAGAAAAGACAACATGAGAATATGTAATTCAATTTTATCAAGGAAGTACAAGTAACATAAAAAAACGTAAGATGTGATAATTGATCTAACATTGATACCGTACCATACTATTGTGGTCGACCCCCAAAGAATATTCACGCCTGAGTCATGACACCATCCAAACAAACTGCAAATTGGTTATTTCACTTGCAAGGATCGGCGTTATCTGAGATCGGCGTTATCTGATTATGGTTCACTCCAGATTGATAGAAGGAACTTGAAGAAGGAAGTAGTATGCCTCTGAGCAAATCCCGACCCCGTCGGGCTAAAAAAAGCTCTTTGAATGCTGCACGTCATGCTGATGATCGCTTCGCGCCATGGCACCACACACGCATCATGTCTGAAGTAGATGTACCGAGCTCACCGCAACAGAGGTTGAGCTCCTTCCATGCGACGAGCTGCTGGTCAAACTTCACTTGCTCGCAGGGTTCTTTTTCCCCTGCCCTTTGGCGAAGGACCCAGAAGCCGGAAGGCATGTGCATACCCCTGTGGCGGAATTGCAGTGGGGGGTCCCGATGGATGCGGTCCGAAGCGACATGTCGCCATGCATCACCTCTGGCACCACTGCGCATGTGCGCTTCTCCCACATCAGTTCGAACATTGTGGGCAGGCACTCTATTTCCGGTCTGGTGTAACGGTCGACTCATAGAAATAACCGTCATGGGAGATGAAATGCGTCGTAACGGTCTGAACCGGAAAGTAACGTCAGTCCGAAGAGGCGCCATGGAGGAGCAGGCTTTGCTTGGATGGCGAGGTAAGCGATGGAGACGAGAGTATTTTGAAACTGATGGAAAGATGAGATGAGACGAGGAGGAGGCAGAGGAGGAGGATGGTGAGAAGAAGAGAGGAGGAGGAGGAGGAGGAGGAGGAGGAGGAGGAGGAGCATGAGGGAGGATTATGCTTGTGGATGTGGTGGTAGTAATGCGGCCGAAGGAAGAAGGGGAGAAGGACGGGGAGGAAGAAGCAGGAAGGGATTGAAGGCAAAGGCGAAAGGAAGGAGTTACGTAGGGAGGCGAAAGGAGTTAGATAGGGCAGACTGTTAGAGTTGATTGCACTCGCTTCTGCTCACTTTGTGGATCCAGCGAGGAAGAATGGAAGGAGGGCTGCTCTTGCATTTGCGGTGACAGCTTCAGCCATCACGATGATCCTTTGCGGCGTGTACACCTTTACCAAGCGGACTCATCGCACTGCTCTGGTTTGAAATGTTTTGTGGGATGTGCAACATGATGTTCATACTGCGAAACAGGAGACTTCCATTGCTGTCAACTGCGATGGGTGAGGCTCGCATTTGTTCTCTTGTATTGCTCACAATCCATGGCAGGTCGATTGACGTCATGAGCTCGGCACCATGCCTTGAGAGTGGGCCGACCATGGCCACTTACACGAGTTTGCCTCCTGCTTTGGTAAACAGCGACGTGCTCCGTTGTCTCTCGTGACTTCAAATTCCTAGCCTTATGCTGATCCCGTTGTCGTCACCTCACCTTCCTGGGGACTTCCTGCTGTACCCGTGGGCCCCAACGCCTACCAGTGAGTGCAACTAGGACGTGGAAGGGAGGAGAGGATAGTAATCCCTTCCAACCCTACAGGTACCCTACTGTCTGGCAAGGAGACAACATGCTCTCTGGCGGTCAGCTGCAGTGGGCGGCAGAAGATGCTGCTCAGCATGCGCTGAACTTGAACAACTGGAGGATCAAGATCTTGAAGGTAGAGGAGGTGGCGTGTCAAGGTGACCTTGTTGCTGATGGGACATGATGTAGGCCAAGCACGAGCAGGCTCGCCTGTCGAATGCGATTATGAGAGAGTCAGCGTCTGGAACGGATCTCGGAGACGATTATGCTGAGTACTGCAATGATGCCGTCAGCTGTCAGCTGCTGACGAGATGATAGCTACTTCGACCATGAGGATGAAGAGGACGAGCTCAAGCAGAAGTCGGAAAACGTGAAGTGACCTGAGCTGCGTGGCGAGTATCTGACGCCTACTCCATGTCTCCAGACCGACTTGAAGAGCATCCGTGGCTCCGTTTCAAAGCTTGCCGGCGACACTTCCAAGGCGATCAAGACGCTTGAGAACGAAGTCAAGACTGTGAGGAGTTGGGATGTCGGAGAGCTTTCCTGACGATATTGCAGAGCAAAGTGAGCAAGCCAGTGAGCCAGAACTTGCGCAGGTTGCAGAAGGATACGGACAAGGTAAGCTATTGAGCGAGGCGAGGTCAGACTGAGGGAGGAGCGCTTGCAGGAGCTGTCAAAGATCATGGCGAAGTTGAATGACTTGTCGAAAGATTCGGCCTAAAATCTCGATTGATGTATAATGGGATTTAAGTTGAGGACAACTCAATGTGATGGATCAAATGAAACTTTATCATTACATATTCAGTTTGCAGACGGAGCTCACAAGGAAAGGCTCTATCCACACTGACACATTACACTCATAAATAACATCACAACAACTCTCAGAGAGGAAAGCGTACAAGTCACAACCCAAGGAGTCACCCCCTCCCTCTCCTCAATCTTCATCCTCATACCCTGGAGGGCATGCGGCGATCTGCAGGTTCGGTCAGAGACGGCACGTGCCGCGTGCTTCCTCACCCTCCGGCTCCCTGGCATCGTCGACTTGCAAGGCTGGTGCGGAGTCGCAATGGGCCAAACGCTCCAGTCGGCCTCCTCACTGGGAGAGAAAAGCTGAGCGGGAAGAGCAGGAAGAGAGTGGGAAGGTGGAGGAGCAGAGGGAGGGTGAAGAAGACAGCAGGCAAGGAAGGTAAGGGATAGACGAGTGGAAGCGAAAACATGAACAGGAGGAGAGGCGGAAATGGACTATTCGTTAAATACCTGTCCTGACTGCCATCGAGCGACAGTTTTTGTGCCTGTGATGTTTCCACGTCAGGGTGAAGGTGAAGGGGAAGCAAAGCACGCGAACCTGCTTGAAGTCTTGCAAGCGAGTTCGTACAGACCTCTCCCCCTGCTCCTCCCCTCCTCCCCGCTCTCCCTCCTCTCCCTCGTCCTCCTCCTCGACATGGCAGATACGTGAGACGGCAAGTTTCTTAGCGAACTCCTTCCTGAATTCCTGCAAGGCGGTGAGGGAGCGCGGGGGAGTAGAGCCAGTTACCTCTTCCACTCGGTGAAGGTTGTAATCCAAGGTGAACTGAACGCCCTTGAGCCCAGAGAGGACCTGAGGGTAGAGGTGAGGAGCTGAAGGAAGGTGAAACAAAATGTCCACGGCCACGATCGTCGTCGTCATCATCTCTATCATCACAATCTCCATCATCGTCGTAGTCGTCATCATCATCATCCTCATCATCGCAGCGTCTTGTCATCATCATGATGGCTTCCCCAGCCTCACCTTGTTGTACTTGGACCGCAGAAAGCCTATCTGCATGGTCTTGTGCTTGCAGTCCGACTCGCTGACCTCGAGTTCGCGCTGCAGCATCAGGACAAGGTCACTCTGCCGCAGCATGTCGATCTTCAGCTTCTCGTGCTCCGATCGGTCTACCTTGCTCTCCCTTCCCATGATGACGTCACAACTTGACCCTCCCCTCACACCGCCCGTCGCTCACCTCAGGTAGTCGTTCTTCTTCTGGAGCCACTCGATCTTCCTGCTCTGCTCCTCGATCACTTTCTCGGTCTCCTCCAGCGCCATGCTGACTCTCTCTCCTCTCGCCAGCTCGTCCTGCAGCTCGCCGTCAAGCGTCCTCAGCTTCACCTTCCTCACCCCACCTGCAGCGATCGCAGCAGCTCTCCTTCGCGCCCTCTCCTGAGTTTGCTTTCCGTCTGCCCCACAACTTAGCCGCCTCCTCCTCCTCCTCCTCCTCCTCCTCCTCCTCCTCCTCCTCCTTCACCTCTAGTGCAACTCTGCTCTGCTCGCTCCTCCTGAGTTTGGTTTGCAGCTCGGCGATCAGCTCGATCTGCTTCTCGGAGATGTGGTGCAGCTCCTCGGCCTGGCTCAGCCTCCTCTGGACTTCAGGGGGTAGGGATCCGCCGTCCTTGACTCGCTCGCCATCCTCCTCCTGCGACTTCCTGGCAGCCTCGCGTGCGAGCTGAAGCTCGAGATGATGGATCTTGGAAATCCACACGTTCTCGTCCTGCTTGCACCTGATGCCAATGTAGTCAGGGAGGAGGAGGAGGAGGAGGAAGCGGAGGAGGATGGGAAGCATGCTGACCTTTCTTGTAAAGACTTGAGGCTGTTCATGGCGCCAGTCATCTTCACGTTCCTTGTTGCTATCTCCTCCTTGAGAATCATCTAGAGAGAGAGGCGTGGATTAGCACAGACACGCCAATTCAAACAGGTCAGCAGACATTCTCAGACTCGATCCTCTCGAATTGCGCGAAAGTCGTCGAGAACAGACGCTCGAGATGTTCTACGCTCTCAACGAGCCTCTCGGTCTGGCATCCTTCCTGCGCCATCTTCTCGTCCAGTCTTGACACAAGGAGCGCCACGTCCCGGAGGGCACCTGCCATGTCCCTCAGCACGGACCGAGCAGAAGACTGGGGGAGTCTTGGCATCACCAACGACTTCTCCTGCCATCTCCTCCACCTTCCTCAGCATCGACTCCCTCTGCATCAGAGCCTCTTGCTGCGAGCTCAGCGTCGACCTCGCCTCCTTCAGGTCCCTCATCACGATCTGATAACTTCGGGCCCCCAGCGTCAGTCCCTTCCCTCCCTCCCAGGAGCATCCAAATCACCCGAGCTCGCTCGATCGGAGCCTCTCTTGTAGGATGTGGTTGACGGACAGCAGCTCTTCGTAGTCGCTCTGGAGACAAGGCTTGCTGTCGATTTGCAAGCGACTCTCCCTCTCTATCTTGACGACCCTGCCAGCTCGACGTCAGCAGAGGGAGAAGGGAGTACAAGACCACATGTGACTGTCCGACATGGCGTTGTGGTAGAGCTGCGTCCAGATCGATTGCTGTGTAGGGGACAAGTGAGTCATCGAGATGAGGAGAGTGAGCGGAGACCAGAGGAGAGAGGAGAGAGGAGAGAGGAGAGAGGAGGAGACCAGAGGAGAGCAGATTAGAGAGGAAGGGATGGAGGAGTGGGGGAGGGGTGGGGAGGGAGAGCAGAGCAGAGCAGAGCAGAGCAGAGCAGAGCAGAGCAGAGGAGGAGAGCGGAGAGGGGGCTCACAAGACTAGAGATGTCAAGTTTGTTAGATGCAGGAGAAGCATGAAGAGATCCTGGGCTCATGAAGTTTTTGATCGAATCGTCGAGCTCCTGAGAGATTGACAACTGCAACTTGGTCGTGAGGCTTCCAAAGAGGAGGCAGGAGGAGGGCGAAGGAGGAGAGCAGAACGAGGAGGGGTGAAGGGGACAACAAAACCAGGAGGCAGGCTGACAGCGAAAGTTGAGTCACCTGGGACTCGGTCGAGTCATTCTGTTTGCGACTGATCGGGATAGGAGAGCACGTCATTCTCTTGACGTCATGGAAGGAAGCGGAATGAACAACTCCGTTGGAGATCTGATCGACTTGTCTGTTCTCAAACACGAGATGCGTCTCTACCCGCCTCTCCATGTCCTCCTCCACCTTGTCCATCAACACCAGATCCCTCGCTGCCGACCCGTTGCTCTCCCTCAGAGGTGAAGCCATCCTCTTCGTCTGCCGCATAGACAGCCTCCTGCTGTCGCTCATCTCGCTGCACGCCACCATCTCCTTGCAACAGTCGTTCAGCTGCAACCTGGCCCCCTCGACCGAGTCGAGCGTACCTGAAGGGTATGGATTATCTTGTCCTTCTCCGAGCTCTCCTCCTTCAGCTCCTCGATCATCGCAGCCCTCTCGGTGCAGATCTTGTTGAGAATTCTCAGTTGGGCTGGGCAGACAGAAGATGTCAAACTCTTGACAGTCAAGCTTTCAGGTACCATCGTTGTCCTCCATCAGTTTCTGAATGTCCGTGTGTTTGACCCTCATAGCGTCTGAAGGGCATATATGGTTCATGATCTCAAGAAAAAGCAACAAGATGCTACTCATTACCTTGAGATTCTCCTAATACCCTCTGCATCTCTGATTCCTTCGCAGATAACCGCTCTGGAGGAGAACATTAAAGAAGCGCTTACTGCACATTCTGCAGTTCACCTGAATAATCCCGAATGACTTTCTGTAATTCTTCATCTTTTTCTAGGATTCGACGTTGTAGCTCGTCGATCTTCTCCGTGTAGCCACGTCTCAATACATGCACGTTTTGCTTCGAGATCTCCAGCTTGTTGGAAAGTTCTCGGACTTCATTTTCAGCCTCCCACAACCTTCATTATGAAATAATCAGATTCGATCAGACGCTGTTGTGATTGCAATATATCTCAGTGTCAAGACTAGTGAATTTTTCGTTGTTTTGTTGTGGATGATAACAAGATCAGAAGTGTAGTCGGAAAACAGTTGAGTACAAAACATGGCTGACAACAGAAAGGCAAGATACGATCGTTGCAGCACAAGAACAACAAGTTATCTTCGTTCATGTGTTCATCTTGCTCTTCTTACCTCTTGTTCGCAGTCTCCAACTCCTTCTCCAGCATCGCCATCGCCTCCTGCGTGTCTTCTGCCATCCCGCACAATCCCTCCATTGCTACACGCGCTTTCAAATTTCAAGGGATCCACCTCCCCCATCTGACCGAACTGAAATTAATTCTAGCTTGTTGGCCAGGTCAGCCTCCGTCAATCATGAGGCTGATATTAAAATGACTGGCACTGATGAGAGTCACTGGCTGATGCGGCCATTATGAGTCAAGTTCAAGTTCCAGTTCCGGGTGAGGTTTTGACTCAGCCCGGCGACCGTCAAGAATTCGGAAGTTCAGCCTGGCAGACTGAACGTGACGGCGGGCAGGCCTCCAACTTGAAGTTCAAAAACGTTCAACGGTCACCGTAGCCTCCGAAGTTCCTGAGTCACTGAGGCCCTCCGACGATCCGATTGCCCCGCCATGGAGTGACTGGTCACCAGTAACGCCACAGCGGGGATTCACCCTCAGTGGTGCCCGGGGCTGGTCTAACGACACTGACCGTACAACAGGGCAAGTTGTTTCAGTGGGGGCCAAGTTTGGCTGCGACAGAGCTTGTTTACTACATCAGATTGATCTGACCGTTAGGTTGCTCACTGCACTGAAGTCACACGCCGACGGTTCGAGCTAGCTGAGGAGAAACAACCCTCGAGCAGGGACTGCCTATAGTTGTGCTTCACAGAGTCAAATGGTCCCGTCGGCCTCGGAGCATCTCCCGTCCTTTCTCCTTGAAGTCCTTGGCTACTTCAGGGTGGACCCACTCGACTGTCCCATCTTGTGCCGACACCAACTGAAGCCCGGTCTTTGCCGTCCAGTTCCTGCCACCTACGTCAGCATGAACCGAGCCAGTGCAACACTAGTTCATCTCAACCTGTCCACCGACTCCATGAATTGAACCAGCGCTTTGATTCCTTTCCTGTTGCAGTTGAGATCTGGCTCCTGCGCGTCCGAGCTCACCCCTTGGAAGTGCTTCTGCGCCCATGAAGACATCATGTCGACTGCTTCGAGCTCCGTCAGCTTCTGGCTGAAAGCTCTTTGTTTCTTCAGCTCTGATTCCAGAGAAGAGAGGCCTGCAAGGGGCAAGTTGAGCCACCTGACTTTTTCTAGTGCCGGTTTGAGGGCATTAAGAGTTGGGGGGATCATCTCTGCGAACAGTTGGACGCTCTCCTTCACCGTGAACGTTTCGAACGTCTTGTCGGCCAACTTGAGACTGACTGGGCAGATGAATTTGATGCAGAGCTTGTTGGTGATCCAGTCCGTGGGATTCCACGACTCCACCTCTTCCTGCGGGTAGATCCACACCAGGTATGGCGCCATCTTGCCTCGTGCTTCCGACAAGCACGCCTGATTCAGCAGCCAGACTGCAGACCGACTGGCGTTGATCGCCTCCTCCATTCTTTTCTTGATGTCATTGACTTGATCTTCCACGTTGCCCAACTGTTGCTGCATAACCCCGACCTGCTCTAGCAGCCTCTCTAAAATCTCTTTCTTCTCATCATCCGACCCTCGCTGGCATTGTTGGATAAGCAAATCGAATCTCTGTGAGATTTCTTGCATGTGTTGTGAGCAGTGTCCCTGCACCTGTCTGGACATGTCGTGCATAACATTACACAGTCCTGCAACTTTGCTACAGAGTTGCTGGGATTGATTGATCAGATCACCGTCCCTCTTAGATATTGATGACAGAGAGCTTCGGAGCTTGCACAGCTCCTTGTTGATCCTTTCATTCGTGGCAGCTTGGTAAATCAAAACTTGCATTCCGTCATTGATAAAAGGCTTCATTTCCGAAATCTCTTTCTTCAGCTGCCTCATGTTCTCAGCCATCCGATCTATCTTGACATGCAGCCCCATGACTGTCTCTTGCTCTGTGAAGAGTGAGCACTCTTTCAGGCTTTGCAAGACCGTCCTTCGTCTTGAAGGGTCCTCTCTCAGAACACCTCCAACTCCATCTCGTCCGAGCAGAAACCTCAGAACCTGCTGGTCAGTCTGTAAACCTGTGAACTCATGCGCGACCCGCTCTTGCAAAATCCTTTCATTCCCACCCTCCCAAAACTGCGAGATCTCAACAGGATCAGACAGTCCAAGACAAGAGTACAAATCCCTGCGCGTGAAGACTTGGAATGCAGTCACTCCGAAGGACCATGCGTCCATCTCGAAGGTGAGCCTCTGCCTGCATGTTGCATCCTTGAGCAACTCGGGAGCAACGAAGCAGCAGGCAGCATCGTCAGCGTGGTTTGCCAGGGACCCAACCTCACCAGCGTAAGTGAAGTTAGTTGCCTTGATCCTCAAGTCACTGAAGACCAGAAAGTTGTCTGCACTGATCCCCATCCAGACCAACCCGCACTCGTGCATGAACCCTACGATCCAGCCAAGCTGCCTTATGATCCCCTGGCGATGAGCCTTGTGAGCGTTGAGCGAGGCCTCTGACATCCAACCTGCCAGCGATCGTTTGGCACGCTCAGTGACAAGAGCGAAGAAGCCAGCACAAGATCCTTCTGCATGAAGGCATTCAACGATGTAGTCATGAGCAGAGGAACTTCGGTTGACAAGCTTCTTGTATACATCCCAATCGTGCCGAAGCAAATCATCTGCTTCTTTCTCCTTGGCTACCTTGATGACCCCTTTCCTCGATTGTTGTCCAATTGTTATGATGCACTTGAAAACGCTAAAACGCAAAGAGGATGAAAAATCATTTGCATCATCCACGACAAGGGTTTCATTCCATTGGCGTCCACCGGCCTCCTCCCTGGCCTTGCGCTCGGCCTCCTCCCTGGCCTTGCGCTCGGCCTCCTCCCTGGCCTCGCGCTCGGCCTCCTCCCTGGCCTTGCGCTCGGCCTCCTCCCTGGCCTTGCGCTCGGCCTCCTCCCTGGCCTCGCGCTCGGCCTCCTCCCTGGCCTTGCGCTCGGCCTCCTCCCTGGCCTTGCGCTCGGCCTCCTCCCTGGCCTTGCGCTCGGCTCCTCCTGGCCTTGCGCTCGGCCTCCTCCCTGGCCTCGCGCTCGCTAAAACGCAAAGAGGATGAAAAATCATTTGCATCATCCACGACAAGGGTTTCATTCCATTGGCGTCCACCGGCCTCCTCCCTGGCCTTGCGCTCGGCCTCCTCCCTGGCCTTGCGCTCGGCCTCCTCCCTGGCCTGGCGTTCTCTCACTTCCCTGGCTCTGCGCTCCCATTCTTGTTCCTTTTTTGCTTCATCTCTGGCTCGGCGCATCTCCTCCTCCCTGGCTTGTAGCAAAATCTGCTGTTCTTGCCTTGCCCGTTGCCGCTCGGCCTCCTCTCTGGCTTTCTGCGCCGCTTGTTGTGCCCTCCGGCGCTCGGCCTCCTCCTTCATCCGTCTTTCCTCCTGCGCTTGCGCTCTTTCGCGCTCCATCATCTCCCTGGTCTGACGTTCTCTTGCTTGCCTTTCCTCCCGTAAGCACCTCTGCTGTTCCTCCTCCGCCATCTGGGCGTATTGGCTCAGCCCCAGCTGAAACTTGCATGAGAGGCAGCCGTTCTATCGGCAAAGGAAGTATCAGCGTATCAGCAAGGAGCGGCATCATCGTCGTTCGATCACCTGATTGTAACCGGGCCATCCATGCAACCTTGCACACTGGATTCAATTGTTATTTGCCAGGTATAGAAATATCCTTTGATTTCAAAACTCACATTCTATTATTTGATAAAGCATCGTACAGTATTCAACAACCCAGTGTCAGATGCACATCAAAAAAAGATACAGTTTATCCTTACACAGCACTTGAAGGTGATGCGTTTCCCGACGGGCCATGAACCATATCAGCGAAAAACAAATTGCATGTTTGCACATGATACTTACAAACTGTACGATATGTCAACCTTGCAAATAGGAAGTGAATATTCGATAATACTTACCCACTGTTAATCCCAAATGACCAGCATCCCATGAGCAATCATCAATCATAAAGACGTCAGCAGCCAGTCCTTGGATATGCATTCAATGATCAACTCACCCCCTGAGTAGAATGCCGATGCATCATTGAGCAGAGCAAATAAATAGTGGTGAAAAACCATGAATCAAAACCTCATCGCATTAATCCAACTATACTCACGAACTATCTCATTATTCCCAACATGATTCCACAGAAAAAAAATCAGATAATAAATCGGAGATTTTGTCATAGGAATCTGCTTACATTCTAAACATTCATGTGATCGCGTTAATGAAAATAATGTCAGAATACTTTTTTCACATGATAGCTGTCGCACTTACCGACTATCCCAGTGCATTCCGTTTAAGAGGTGATGATAAACGTTAAAGGGGGAAGTATCAGACAACCACCTTGAAACTTGCACATGAAGCTTACAGGCTGTCCAGTTGTAGTTTCATGACGGGAACAGAGCATTCATACAAGTCAGACGACATGCAAGATCAAAGTGCTATTGAATATCAAACTTACACACTACTTGTTCCCGACCCATATCAGTTACATTCACGAAAAACCGATGAAGACGTCAGTCTATCAATGGCCATGATTTTTCTAGGGGACTTACAGCCTGCCGAATAGAAGATAGCAGACGGTGAAAGATCATGTTAAACATTCAATATAACTCTGAAAACTTGATAGCATATGAAACTCACCCACTATGTATCCCCAAGTTCAAAGCATAGCCCAAGATCAGGCGCAAGAGCAGTCAGACTAACCGCACGTTGTAGGGTGAATTTACCGGCTATTCATCCCCGCACATCCAATATGTTGAAGAGCACAAGGGAATCAAAATATTTGTGAATCACTCAGAGTCAGACCAGTCACAAACTGTATATTCAGAACTCACTCCCTGCTCATCCCCAACATGTCGACGCCAGCTGGAATGCAAATACAAACAGACAAACAATCAGCCGTTCTGAACCTCAAGAAGCTTTTAACTCACTCCCTGATCACCCAATCCATGTTTTTTTTTTTGATAAACATCGAAAAAGAAAACGTCATCATTGTATTCTTTATGCACAAGTGATCAGCATCACTTCTCACCGACTTGTTTCAACATGCCGCGTGCCCAATAGTCAATTTGAACATCATTTCACCAATGTCAGTGTCCTTTTCGGTTTAACGTTGCAATCATCTTACACAGACAGAGCCGTCCATGGAGCACTGATCGATTCCTTTCTACATCGCCACAATGAGAGGCAGGGGCGCAGCAAAGCAAGGGTTGCCTCGCATCCTGAGCAGAAGCAGAACATTGCGCTAACTTGCTGGGAATTCAGTCCTGTAGTAAATAACCTCCTTGGTAGTAAATAACCTCCTTGGTAGTAAAAGTCCTGTCAATGGTAAACACTGTAGTAAGCAGGCAGCTGGAGCACCACCTCGCGAAATGTCATGCATGGACGAGCTTGTTGGGCTGGCAGGAGAGACCTTGGTCGCGATCCTTCAGGATACAAGGAAGGCGAGGGGGAATAGGAGCGAGTTAGAGTCGATTCATCAACTCTTGGGTTGTACTGTGAATGATCTCCTCAGAGCCTTCAAGGAGAAGAAACCGATTCTTCCAGCTGTTGTCTTGCCGGCTGTTGCACGGCTTGTTGTGAGGCTGCTGTCTGTAAAGAGCCTGGTTCAAGGATGGGCGCAACAGCCCGAATCGACGGCTGATCGGATCAAAGTCCTTGCTGAGATTGAGGAAGAAAAAGTAGGCATTTCTGACGCTGTCAAAGAAGGGAAATGGGCCCTGCAACAAGATACAACCTCAGGTTCAAGTTTCAACAAGGATTCGAAACTCGCCGTTGAATGCCGTGGAGATGATCATGATATTATGTGTGCCATCAACTATGCAGACCTGCTTTATCGCACAACTGGGCGTGGAAAGCCTCACCCAGATGTTGTTCTCGGCAGCGGTGGGTTTGGGCTTGTGTTTCGAGCAGTGTACCACGAGAAAGACGTGGCGGTGAAAGAGCCGCACAACCTGGCTGAATTCCATAACGACAGTGACAAGAAGAAAATGTTCATCAGAGAAGTCAACCATCTGTACAGGTTGAAGCACAAGAACGTGGTCGATTTCATCGGAGCCGTTGCCGAGGATGAGACGGGTGAGCCCTGCTACCTGATCTTGACTGAACTGCTTCCCCACAAGCTAGAGGAATACATACTCACTCCTGCAGGCCGGCAACCTCGGGTTCGAGAGAAGCTGGTTCTCGATATGGCACAAGGCCTTGCCTACCTCCATGATTCCAAGATCATCCACCGAGACATTAAGCCGCAGAATATCATGGTCAACAGCCAAGGCACCGCAAAGTTGATTGATTTTGGTCTTTCAAAGCAAGAGGAGAAGAGCAAGAGCACTTCAGCCAGCCGCTCTTGTGCAGGAACTAAGAACTGGATGGCGCCGGAAGTGAATGCAGGAGAAGCTTCATCGTTTGCGTCGGATGTCTACTCCTTGGGGCTGGTGGCCTTCTTCGTGGTCACTGGTGAGGTGCCGCAGCAAGAGCTGTATCCCAGGAACCGTATGATCAAACAACGCTTAAAGGGCGACACCACTGTCGAGAAGATGATTTCCTACTGCACTTGTGGTGACAGCAAGAAAAGGCCCCGGGCAGCGATCGTTGCGGCTAGTATCAAAATCCAGAAAGACGTCTTCGCTGAATGCCAGAGCTCTTCCGGCTTTTATGCCTCTGTGGCAGTCGCAGGGGTGGCAGCGATTGGAATCCTTTCAGTACTTGCAGCAATGTCCTCTGACCGCAGCAAGGAGGATGAAGACTAGCAGCTGGTGGGCTTTCAGTCATCTTCATCCGGGTGTGGAATATTTCTGAGTCATTCTATCCGTTTCAGGCTCCGATGATCTTGTCTATGAGTATGAACTCAGTAAACTGCATCATTGCACCCACGTCCTCCTGATCAACAGGAGATCTGCCCTGCTTCTTAGGTAAGCGTTGGGCTGCCAGTTCGACCGACGAACTCGGGAACAGTATCCAAGGCTACGATGTCAGGAGGTCGACTGGGCACGGAAAGACCTTCGCGGACGATCCAACAGCCTTGCAGTTATCATTGATTTAGTTATAAGTCATAATTTCATCTTCCTAGCTTACACAGCAACATGCGCTGTTAGATACCTGCCTTGCTCTCAACATCTCGACCTGTCACATCCGCGTTAGACACTCCCCTTCATTCCGTATCTTCTCCTCCCCCCCCATCCCCCAGATCCCTCTCTTCTCCCCCCGCTCCCCATCACTCCGAGATCATTGGCGACATCTTACCTCCTTCTTCAACTTCTCAAGCTCTTCGCTGGTGGCTAGCACCGCTCTCGTCCCATCCCGATGTGTTGCTTGCTCACCAACCCACGAGTCCTTGAACGGGCCTGACTCCAACACATCTCTCACTGTCTCACCCTCCTTCCAGAGCTGGCTGGCCTCCAGCGCGTTGGTAACCTTGCTTGCAATGTGATCGAAGAGTCCGAAGAGCTCCCGCGCGTGCACGTCGGACATGTCAGGGGGGGAGGCGCTGCCATGCCCGATCGACGCCTCCCACAGGAGCAGCGCCACATTCTTGGACAGCAGCTTCACTATGTCTCGGACTGTCCTTTTCTCCAGGTCGGGGGAGGGAGTGAGATGATGGGCGACCATGAACTTGTTCACCTCGGCTACAGTCTTGTTCGGGACGTGGTCAGGGAGCCGAGAGATCGGATCGTCCTCGAAGAAGCTGCGGATGGGGGGGCCGCCCTCGTCCTTGCAGACTCTGCCGAGGAGGACGGGCAGGCAGAACTTGAGGCGGCCAGCAGCTTGCAGCTCGAGGATGAGGCTCCACTCCATGAGCACGTGATCCTCGGGGCTGTCGGGCAAGAGCGAGAACATCCGCTGAAGGGCATCCAGCGAGACGATGGGCACGGCGCCGACTGAGCTTGAAAGTGCCCGCATGAAGTCGTGGTCGAAGCGCCTGCCCGGTTTCAGCCTCACCTGGTCGTAGAAGACCTCCAGGCGCCTTCCTTCTTTCCCCACGATCCCCAGTGAGAGGATGTCATAAGTCTTCTCAACTAGCTCTGAGTCGAAGGGGCCATGGCGGTAGGAGAAGAAGACGTCGTAGGAGGAGAGCAGTTCCTTGGACGGGAGCCATGCACTGAACTTGCTCTGAAGTATCGACCAGTCGAGGTGAGAAGTTCCAACCCAGAGCCCCTGCTGAGTGCCAACTTGTTGGCAGAGAGTGTCATAGTCGAGCAGGAAGGAATCTTCCGCTCCTTCATCTGTCCTCTCCTCCAGACAGGCAAAGCACCGCAGCCGTGGCATGCACCGGTCGATCACCGTCTGAATGATCTTGAGGAGTCGCAGCAGGACGTTCTTGGGGTTCTGGACAAAGATCACCAGCTTGAAACATTTCTCAGCTCGCAGATCTTGCAGGAGGAAGCGGTGCTTTCCGAACGCTAACGTCGCCTCTGTCTTGCTCACTTTGTGCTGCATCCCCCCCGTGCTCTGGCTCCATGCAATCGCCTGCCCGATTACGCTGGCAAAGAGGCTGTTGGGGACGAAGCGACTGGTCAGGTCCGAGCGCGCAACGACTCCCTTTTGCTCTCTCAGAAACTCAGCATCCGACGAGAAAAGCAAGAAACAGGACAAGGCCTGGTTGTCCACATTGCTGAGCTGCTGCTCTCGAAGAAGGGTGGGGACGAGAAAGGACATGGACACGTCTGTCTCTTGGGGCTTGAGAGGGATGAAGATGCCAAACTTGACGCAGAGAAGCTCGAGCAAGTCCATCTGTTGCAAGTAGTCCTTCCAGAGCACAGGGAGCAACCTCCGGCTCAGCACGGCGCTCATCGTCAGACTCTTCCACTCATTGATCATTTTTCTTGCTTCCAGCTGCTGAGCCGTCTTGTGAAGATCGTGCTCACACACGACCTGGGTCGCCGGACGGATGATGAAATCTGTCGGCCTGGCGATGACATAGTCCCTCAGAGTCTTCTCCTTGTGGTGCATCAGCCGGCCGAGGTTGTGAAAGTAGTCCAGCATGCCCTCTACCTCCCTTGTCAGCCCAAGTCTCTTCGACATCGGCATCCCGCTCTTGGCTGCGATCTCCTCCACCTCCGACAGTTTCAGCACATCCTTCCCCGATTGCTTTATTGAGTCCAGGCACTTGATCCACGCGTAAGGAACGCGCTGCTGGATGTAGTCGGCATTCATCGCAACTTGCTCCACAACGCTGAGGATTTGGGGGATGACGGGGTCGACGTGACCCTTAGTGTTGTCCACCGGGAAGAAGGTGAGAACCTCCCAGGTGGCTGCCTTGAACTCGGCCAAGCTGATCTTCCCGTCCTTGTTATCGTCTACCGACTCGAAGAACTCCTTGACCAGTGAAGCGTCTGCATATTTCCCAAAGAACGCTTGCAATTCTTCAAGCTCAAGAGTGGAGGATGAGTCAGCGTCGACGAGGTCAAACTGCTCTTTCAGCCAGACATCTACGTCATCCATGGAGGAGGCAACGAAGGAGCTTGACCTCTGGTCGAAGATCTGAACGTGGGGCCAGGCGAGGTGTCCGCAGAAGGTGCGATGAAGGATGCGGGAGATGTAAAGGTGCTGAAGAGGATGAGAAATGATGTCCTTGTGAGTTCCAACGATCACGATTGGAGCGCAACTTTCGCTGGAAGACTGGCTTGTATGCAAGTAGATTGTGCTCAACCAAAATTCGATGAAGTCAAGACATTCCTTCTGTAGCCTCTCGTCCCCAGTGATGAGATCTTCCATATTGAACAACACAGCAAAGATGCCGAACCTGGTGATAAAGAGGTGGAAAAGAGCATAAAACACGTCCTGGCCCCCGTAGTCCCACAACTCAAAGATGATCGACTCATCGGACCCTTCATCTTGTAAGCATTCAACCACAAGATCTTGTTTGTATTGACTCACAATCGGCTCAGAGCTTTGTTTGGCTTCAAATCCTCTCTCCCCCATGCTCTTGTCTGCTGTCTCGCTGCTAATGGCTCCGCTCTTCTGTCCTTGCTCCCAAATGTCTTCAGACATTTCTCCTCCGTCTCCATTTTCTGCTTCGAACTCCAAGCTTGAGAGCAGGTCACTCTCTGCCGTTTGCATGCCCTTTGCAAAAGCTGCCGCCTGTCTTGCTTGAACAAGTTCCAGCTCTGAGTGAATGTTTGTCTGCTCTTTCCACCACATTTTCCCAGAGAAGACAGAACTCACTTCACAGGTCATCCCCTCCATGCCGATCGTACTCTCCGTGTGCTCAAAGGGTTTCTGCAAGATCGCCCTCACGAATGCTGTCTTGCCTACCCTCCCCTTCCCAACGATGGAGAGCTGAGATCGATTCCATTTCGCACTGGCGCATTCGCAGGCTTGCTTGAAGGCGGCTTCAAGAGAAGCTTTCTCCGACCCGACGTTCGCCAAGACTGACATGATGTTGCTCTTCACCGCGATGATCTCACTGTCAATGAGCGATTCCATCAGCTCGACATGTTCACTCGTGCAGCTCTCCTTGAACAGCCTGTCGTTTGAGATGCGTGCGAGGGTCAGCGTGATGACTCGCAACTCCACCTCCAGCTCGTTCCCCTGCTCCTCCATCACGCTGCTGAGAGCCTGCAAGGACAATCTCGACCCGCCCTTCTCAAGGAACCCGGCTCGATTATCGGGAAGAGTACAAAGGGAAGCCGCGGCAGACATGACCTCCTCGATGCTCCAGCCAGACCCCCCAAAGCCTTCATCCTTGAGCGTGCTGTCCAGACACTTACACAGCCATTCGATGGATTCCAGAGAGCATATCACCTTCTGGTGATTTGACAGCCCAGAGGCTGCGCAGTGAGCGGAGATCAATGTCCCGTAGAAACGAATCATCCAGACCTCGTGTGAGAACAATCGAGGGATCAGAGGATAGATGCCTGCGCTCAGCATCCTCTGACGGACCACACGGCTGGATGGAAGCCTCCTTGAGCAATTGTAGATGGCTCCACACGTGTTCTCGCAGAGATCGTTCAGGTCCGAGTCCAAGTACTTGTTCAAGATGTAAGCACAGAGCTCCAACAAACCATCCTTGCACAACGGCTGCACGTTCGGAGCATGGTTCGCTCGATTCCAACAACTGTGCATAACAGACTCAATGTTTCGCAGTGAGTTTCTGTCCTTCTGTGAGCTATCCACAACCTCCTTGAGCCTGTCAAGCATCATCGAATGTGTTGACTCCATTTTCCCTGGACCCTTCTTCAGCTATTTCAATGTTCCATGCCTTCGCTGCAAGATAACAATGGTTTACCTGCAAGAGTGAAAGTGAGGGGATGATAAAACCCCAACTAGACGAATAGAATTGTTGGTGTCTCTACCTGCCTGCCTGCCTGCCTGCCTGTCTCTCAGGCTTCACTTACTCTGTCCTCACTATTTTCAGCCTCCTTCTCATCTTCTATCCTCTCATCGGCATCTCACGCATACTCCTCGCTCGCGCTCCTCGCTTTCCAACAAACTCTTTCCTCAACTTCCGGATGCGACGGTTACATGCCACCTTTACTCAAAGCCACCACTCAGTCCGCCCGGCAGTCACCCGAGTCCGGGCCGGGCCTCCGAGCCTCCGACTCGGCCCACTGGCCTCCGAGCCCGGCGCCGGGTGCCCAGGCCCTGAGGCGGCTGGCACCCGGCGGTCAGGCTCATAACCGACGGATCACAAGTTTGTTAGCCTAGTAGTCTTGTAACCAGAATTGAGGAGCACATGCCAGAGATAGACGGTGCCATGGCATGCGGCTTGGACTCCGGGACCACTGGATGTGCAAAGACGTCACCGTGACGTAGAGTTTTGCAAGTTTGTTAGCCTTGTACTATCATCAGCCACTGAAGTAATGCTGAGACCGTACAGAGTCAGCAGTTTGACTGATATCGACCTCAGCTGCCGCAGTGCAACAAGGAGGCTGAGATGTCACAGTACTGTAGTGTATGCTAGCCTATGTGAAACCGGTGGCAGCTTGCCGCCGTGCCCTGGCATCCGATGATCCGTGACCGTCGGACAAGAGAGGATCCGTGACATGAGAGTCCGAGTAGAACTTCGAAGACGGCTAGGAAGGCCCGCCTCCTCTTCGTCGCACGTACTACATTTTGTTAACTCGCGGGGCCGGGGGCGGAAAGGAGGCTGCCAGGGACTCCAGGAGTCCGGATTCCCCGGCGGACTCCGGAGGCTCGCTGGGGAGACTGCGAGCCTAGTCCCGGGCTGGCACCGCCCAGACGACCGACGGCCGCCGACTGGGTAGTACGGTCGGCCGCCCTGGCCGGGCCCAGTGCGGCAGCCCTGCCACTCCCCAGGCTCCGAGCCCGAGCCTCCGGCGGGCTCACTGGGCCAGTGGGCCGGCGTCGCCGCCCGGCGCGGCCACTGCCACCGTTCATTCGGGCGGCAGTCTCACTGAGCACCTGGCCTGGCCCGGCTTGGCGGTGGCGGGAGTTTCTGGAAGGAACATGGCGGAGGAAGCTATGCTGGACGTGGCACGGGATGTGAAGGCGGAGGTGAGGGAGGGAGACAAGAGCTTGACGTCTTCGTGATGGACTAGAGTGATTATGATGCACCTTTTTGGTTTGCCTGGAAGAGAAGATCGTGCTGTGGTTCATAGAGAATCTCGTTTTTCACCCTGTGTTGCTCTAGGATGCTTGGTCAAAGATCGTGATCAGTGGGAATCAGCTGTACGACAAGGTAAAAGGCCTCTGTGTGGTCAGGGACTTTGATTCATGAGTGCAGGGAGAGTATCATCAAGCAGCGAACACGTACAGCCAATCGTTGATCTTCATTTCCCTCACTGATAAGAGTGGGCGATCGAAGGTGAAGCTAGATCGGATGCAGTCAATCCCAACCTGAACGTCACATTCGAACAGGTCTACTATAATCGAGCACTGGCTTATCTCAGACAGCACAAGTGGGATGCTGCCATCCTCGATTCAGAGTGCCTGCTACACGTTTCAATCCCAGGTTCAACCAATGCAGGGTAAACAACATGAACGTGACCTTATCAAAGACTACAAGGCGAAGGCACTTTACTTACGTGCAATCGCAAGAGCGGTAATCCAGAACTAAAATGTTCTGTGTGTGGTTAAGGGGTTAACAGGGCAAGGGAGAACCCTCGGCTGCTATACAGGACATGCGGGTTTGGCGTCTCGTTTGATTACCCCCTGTTTCCTAACAAGTTCAATCAGCAAGCAACCCTGCTCGCCTGCTCCAGCCTTGAGAAGGAAAGAATCAGCAAGGTTGGACTTGTTGGATAAGTTCTTGGTTCTGATGTCAGAGGTCCAGGCCCTTCGCAAGTTGGAGGACCAGTACAAGGAACAGGAAGTCTACTGGAAACGTCTTGTTTTTCGTTTGCAGACATGGAGGGATACGGCAGCTGGTAAAAGGGAAGGAGATATGAATGAGAGATGTGATGTCATCGCAGTCTATCTCACTCGTCAAGTCTTCCCCCTGGCTTGCGCGTCCGGCGCATGGATGGCTGCAAGGTACTTTTGTTCTCTGCAATGTGAAGGCCCCGCTAAATGTTTCCATTTCAAGCTTCATCGTGTACAACAGATGTATTGGCACCGGAGATGTGAAGCAGGACATGCCGCGAGCACGCGTGAGTCTGAGTGAGGCGAGCACGGCCTTGGAGCATGACTGGTTCTATCAGTGGATCTTCATGACTGGTTTTATTGGCATCAATGCTCTGTGGTATGATTTCCTTTGCCGTCTTCAGGTTGAGAATGAGGACCAAACTTCAACAGGCATTTCTGGCGGAGACGGGAAGAAGAACTTCGAAGGAAGCAAGGCGTGTTCTACACTTCCCTTGCAGATCAGGTACGACGTCTCGGTCATCTGTGCCACACTTCGTTTGACCAGGATGCCTGATAGATACGAGGATCATTATCTATGCTTGGAGTGCTTGGATTCACGAAAGGGCTGCATGTTGTCGTCGTTCGAGCTCTTCTATGGGCGAAAACTCGGTTTCTTGATGACGATAGGTGACCCCCTCACAATGATCTCTTGTTCATCCCATCCCCCTTCCTTCTTTCGATCGATTCATCTCATGACCACTACCACCAGTCAAGAATCCAATTCGTCTGGCTGCTGTCAGCAGAGCGACCAGAAGAAAACCCAGCTTGAAGCGAAGATGAGCCAGAAATGCTCACTCGGAGAGAAAGTGTCGCAGGACATGGTCGAAAGAGAACACCTGGCCAAAGACAAGACGTCAATAGAGCAAGCGGCTGCAGATGTCGCATCGGACACTGGGAAAAGAGACATCTCGAACCTTACGGCACAGATGCAGGCTTTGAGCCAAGATCTGAGCATTGTGAAAGTAAGTCGTCTTGTTGAGATTTATGGCGATGAAGCTGAATTGAAATAAGAAGGGTTTAGAGGCAGAGCACAAGAATACAGGGGATCGACAGCAAAAGTCAGAAAAAGAGGACGCGAAGAAGGGTGAAGTGAGCCCGAGCAAAGAGCCCATATTGAAGGATTCCAAGGAGGATGGGCGTTCAACACCCAAGAAAGACAAAACTGTCGCTTCTTCTACTGCACAAGCAGGACAAAGCGATGATCATCATCTGAACAACGGACAAAGTGGAATTTCTAAGCCCGCTGTTGTACAGCAGGAGAGTGTCAGTGCTGCCTCGACGCTTGGGTAAAATTTGTGACTCGAACGACGGCACCTCATCACTCGTGCCTTTACAGGTCAAAGAAAGTGAACGCGGAGACTGAAAGGAAGCAGAAGCCCCCTTCTGACGTCTTCATCACAGATGATGAGATCTCAGAGTCGGCAGATAGAATGTTCGAGTCAGGACTGCTGAGAGAGCAGGGAAATGCAGAATATCAGGCTGCTCTCAAGGTGTAGACCAAAAACTTCTTCATATCTGCTGATCTCATCAGCGGCTATTTCGTTCTTGTTCTTGTTCTTGTTCTCGTTCTCGTTCTCGTTCTCGTTCTCGTTCTCGTTCTTGTTCTCATTCTCACTCACGCTATTTTGCTTTCCTCATCCACGTTTCAATATCCAGTGTCGTTGATGAATTCGTTGCCGATCTTCGTCCTTCTTATTTCTCTTCCTTCCAGATTTCTCACGGGGTGCTGCGAAATCGCAAACTGCAGAGCTCGATTCAGCTGTACACAAAAGCATATGAGGTTGGGATTGTTGTCTGAACAGTTGACAAGTTCAGATGTTTGTGATAGATGGACCGCGATAGTGTGCAAGCATTGACCAATCGGGCTGCTGTTTACCTGACGTTGGATCAGTATGACAAGGTGACTCAAAACTCAGAGATGATGAGGGTGAGATTGTCATGGTAGGCTGCTGAGGATTGTCAGCTTGCCATTGAGACTGGAAAGAGAACGAAAGCAGACTCGAAGGTCATGAGCCGAGCGTACGAGCGGTTAGGAAAGGTGAAATTTCAACAAAAGCTGTACGGAGAGGCAATAGCGGCACTTGAGCGTGTGGAAGAGGGATTCTTGTCAGAAAATGCTGCAAAGATGTTAGCGGAAGCGGAAGCTTTCCGTGACGAAGAAATCGAGAGGAAAGAAGCGGAGAGGAGGGAACAAGAGGCCAGGGAATTGGAGCAACAACGGCAGCAGGAAGAACAGAGGAGGGCAAAGGAAGAACAAGCGAAGAGAGAAAAGCACATTGCTGGTATGGCCCAGCTATTGGAGAAAATGCGTCAATTGAAAGGTGAAGGAAACTCATTCTTTAAGCACGAAAGTTACGGGTCAGCCATGAACTCGTACAAGGAGTGCTTGACGACATTTGAGGCATTGGATCTTGAAGTCCTCGAGCCAAGCCAGGTGGAGGAGTCCACAAACCTGCAAAGCATTTGCCGGCTCAACATCGCAGCATGCTGCATCAAGTCACAATCTTCGTACAGCGATGCGGTTGCCATGTGCAACCTCGTCCTGCAGAGAGATCCGAACAACGTGAAGGCCATCTACCGTCGATCTCAGGTATAGTTTCATCGTCTTCTTCGTCGCAACTTCATGTCAGACCCTTGCTCTCTGTAGGCAAAGTTCGCCCTTGAGGATTTTGTTGGGGCTATCAGCGATGCAGTCTCTGCTCAGAACCTCGCGCCTGGTGATGTCACCATCGCTTCACATCTGGAAGTGATACAACAAGCCATGGCGCGAGGGAGAGAGGAGGAAGACCACAACCGCAACAATGACAAACAGGATGAAGAAGGCGACGACAGCCGGGACAATTACGAGCAAGACGCAGAAGGAGCCGGTGGCCAGGATGATGATGGAGATGATTCTGGAGAAGAGGACAGGGAGGATGATGATGGAGATGATGCTGAAGAAGAGGACAGGGAGGATGATGATGGAGATGATGCTGAAGAAGAGGACAGGGAGGATGATGATGGAGATGATGCTGAAGAAGAGGACAGGGAGGATGATGATGGAGATGATGCTGAAGAAGAGGACAGGGAGGATGATGATGGAGATGATGCTGAAGAAGAGGACAGGGAGGATGATGATGGAGATGATGCTGAAGAAGAGGACAGGGAGGATGATGATGGAGATGATGCTGAAGAAGAGGACATGGAGGAAGATCATGGAAGAGATGGGTACATAGACTCATCTCAACTTCCTGGTTACCAAGCGGAGGGTGATGAAAGAGTTTCCTTCGATTCTTGCCTTGCCATCGCCAACAGCTACAAGGTGGAAGGCAACGATAAATTCAAGAATCAGGTTGCCTGTTGGCCCTGCTGAGCCGTGACAAGCTGATGGGCACCGATAACGAAGGAGTGGAGTGAAGCGATGGAGTGCTATCAAAATGCCCTGCAAGTGCTTGAGCCTTACAAGTCAATACCTTTCAAACAGGTACTCGTAGATTTCACGGCCCGTTCTTCGCTGATTTTGACGTCGCACAACAGGTGAAGGAGATGCTGACGTCTTGCCACCTCAACATCGCGGCGAGTGGATACAAGAAAAGGCAATCTCCCCTCTGGCGTCCGTTGACGGTTGATCGTGCGATTTTGCAGTGTGGGGATGAAACGAGATTTGGAAGCTGCGAGGGAGTTGGATCTGGCTTTGCAGCATTGCAAGGAGGTCTGCGTCAGAGTATGCTCAAATATGGTACTCGAGTGATCACACTACAGGCTCTGTCGCTGGATCCCAGATCAGTCAAAGCTTACTTTCGTCAGGGACAGGCAAGGCAACGTGAGGGGATGACAGAGCAGGTGAGAGTGATGCACAGATTTACGCGGAGATCTCGGCGTTGGAGGATGCAGCCCGTTCTCAGTATGACAGTTTTGTATGTGCAAGACGTTTCAGAGGGCTGCGAACTGACTCCCTTCAATCAGTCTGGGTCTGCAAACATCCTTACCGTGAGCGATTTGAGCTCCTCTTGCGATCTTTCGCGCTGCACAGCTTACAACAGTTGCAGCAACGATCTCGCGATAGTCTACTGCAAGCCAAATCCATCCTGGTGAGCGAATTCCCAGAGCATTGTTCCCCTCCTCTTGCTCTTGCCGCGTGTGCGGCTACTTTGCACAACTCATACAGGGCTCGAGCAGGGAACGAACGACAACAGCATTGCCGCTGCTTTCGAGGAACTCGAGGCCGGGGCCGCGAAGAAGAGACGGAAAGGTGCAGAATTTGTTCTACTCGCATTGCTGCGCTCATGGTGCTCGCAGAGTACCGCACGTCCTTGCAGATGTCGAAGGCATCAGATGCCACCATGGAGCGCTCGGACAAAGCTGCAGAGAGAATGAACCAGAAAAATATCCCGAGGAAGGCGGAGGATTGGAACAAGATTGATCTGGTCTACAAAGGAAAGCCTGTTCACGTGTTTAATCGAGAAATGCAACAGGATGGCGAGCTACAGAGGCTGGAATATGAATCTCTTCGGCAGGTGATTCTCGTGCTCTGCACTGGCTGACGGCCTGATTGTTGGCTGCCAGCAAGGGCTGTCCGAGGATGAAATCCGGAATCGGCAGATCATGCAGATAGTCCAGGAACCTTTCTTTTCCGGCCGGTTTCAGGGATCAATGGGGGGTTTTCCCATACCAGACCATTTCCCTGGCGGGGGAGGAAAAGAGAAAGGGATGCATCCCCATATTGGGGCAAAAAGATGGGAACCCCCACCCGTGGCCAGACCAAAAAAGGAATGAAATTCTTCCATAACCCCCCCCCCCCCCCCCCCTCCCCCCCCCCAACTTCCTTTTCCTCCTCAATCGAGCATCCAGAAACCGGAGGGAGAGCGAGAAAATGTTGCAATTCCTTCAAGATCCTCGCAGGTATCTCGATAATTTCTCGTCCCCGATGGACATAACGTGGAATTTACTAGGAGTCCGGATGAGAAAGTTTCCTACTTAGCTCATCTCTATCAGAAAAGCAAACCATCTGATTAGAAGCCTTTGCACGATCGACACATCCCGCCGAATCAGCCTGCCCACACCACCAGCTCACAGGTGTACTTGAATAAGGCCCAATACTTAGAGAACGACCCGATCTCCTCATCTTATCCTTCCAAAAACCTCCGCGCCATCGCACATGCTTGCCTGTGGCCTGTGGAAAAGAGCTGAAGATGATTCAGACATTTCATGTCTTCATCGAGCGAGGTCACTGTGCTACTGAGGTCTTGCTGTACACATTTTGCTCATGAGTAGGTCGGACTCAAGCAGACGGCTCTAGTCATCATGATTGAGCCAACATTCTCTTCTACCCACTCCATCATTCGTGCGGCATCCCCGGGGATTCCGTAAAATCCTCAATTTAAACTACAATGCAACTCCCTTTTATATAAATAACTTCTTGGTACAAAATTTCGCCCGGAACTCGGAGAAAATTGTATACAAAAATCAAATAAAAGCTTATCCAAAAAAATTTTATGGTACATTTTTAAAACCACTATTTTTACATTTCCCTGATGAGTCAGCAGTTTATTCCGTTACTACCCCCAATCTGAAATTCGAACCCCCTTGCTGACCATTCCCACAACACTAGGGGGTAGGTGGGGCAATTCCTTGTATCCCTTGGACCACCCCTACCGTTTACTTTGATCACCCACCCTTTCCTGAGTACCCAATCTGTTAGCGATGAGGTCGGAAGGGTACATGGTCGTATACCCGTACTTCTCTCTCCGGGGAGGGTGGGGTGGTCTATCCCATCTCCATCATGATTGTGGTAGTCGGGTACCAGAGAAAAAGTTGGGTGATTTTAATAATTGTTTTGTGGAATTCTGAAATAATTTCGAGCAAGCATATTTACGGGTACTACACCGGGTTCTTTCCCATCCTTTCTTGGGACTTTCACAGGGTACTTTCCTCGCTGTCATCAGAATAGTTTTAAAATTCGCGGGCCTTAGCGGGGATGAGGAATTGGGCGAAGAGACGTGCGCCCCTTCAACAGGCGACGGCGCCATTGCGCAAGGGAGGAAGGACCGAGTAAGGATCCCCTGCGGGGGAGGTTCCATGCTGCCGATGGTTCATCCCTCCCTTCAAACTCGTATTGTTTCAAAGAGGCTACATGCCACCAGCAGCACCAGGATTGCATGCTTGTCGTTGCTGGCGGCTGTTGCCCTATTCATCGTGTCTTGCGAGGTAAATTATGGATCTTTGCGATCCTTGCAGCAGCCGAGTCTTTTCTGGTGGTGTGTTTGTGCTGAATCGAGTTAAACTTTTGTTTCTATTTTTGTTGTGAATCCGTGTTTCACTGTGTATGCGCCATGGAGGTGACACACTGCGTTTTCTAGGCTATTGATTCTGTCGACAGAGGATATGTCAATAACAAGTTTTCCAGTAGATCTAAACATGCCTCGCACAATGACTCAGGCTCGCTGGCCAGTAAGATGGGAGCCGGCAGGGTACAATCGTTAGCAGATTTGAGCGGGATTACAGCAGCAGATCAATCTCCCACAATCCCAACCAAGTATCTTCAAGAAGAGAAAGATTTAACTCGCGAGATCAAAGGTGCTGACGAGCATATGGAACATTCCAATCAAGAAGAGACTAGAATAGAGAAGGCAGAGTCGAAGCTTTCTAACTTCATCCAAGAAGAGATGTCTGCGATCGAGTCCGACGTGAAGTCACTAAATCTCAAGGATACCGATGAGATCGAAAGCATAGTTCCCATAGTTGGTGCCCCAGGTCCTCCTGGAATGAACGGAGCCAACGGTCACGACGGAGACGAAGGGTTGGTTGGTCCACAGGGTGCCAAAGGTAGGCAAGGTCCCCAGGGTCCTGCAGGACAGATCGGATCGACGGGTCCTCAAGGAGAAGTTGGCAGCATTGGCAAGGCTGGACCCGATGGTCTGCAAGGTATCTTTTGCTCACCACGGTCGATTTGTGTACCCTGATGTTTGAGATCAGGTCCTCCGGGCATCCCTGGAATTGTTGGTATTCGTGGCCCTGAGGGCCCGCCGGGAGAAAGAACCAAGTGGGCGTCGTCCAAGTATGATTGTCCAGCTGCTTCCACAGAAACCATGAGGCTTGTAGACTGCAACTACAGGGGATGCCGCCTGGAAGTGTTGTTTGAGGATGAGTGGGGTTCCGTCTGTGGCAAGGGTTTCAAGGAAGAGACTGCGGGAATGATCTGCTCCATGCTTGGCTTTGCAAACAATCAGGCGATTATTAATCCTCGGAAAGGAGGTGGTTCTGGAATGGTATGGCTTTCTGACGTATCATGTACGGGATCCGAAGGAGACGTTGGCGACTGCAAACATTCTCCCTGGGCAGCGAACAACTGTGCACACAGTGAAGATGTTGGAATTTGTTGCTTTGGGTTTGCAACTGGACCGAAGGGCCACCGAGTAGGGCCAAGTTATTTTCCTCGATGCCCTTCGGCTGAATCGCCGGGAGCAGAAGAGGAGGTAGAAGAGGAAAAATCGGAGTCCGACGATGATACCACGAATCCATTTGTGAAGACTAAAATCAGGCTTGTTGACTGTTCCCGTTTTGGTTGCCGTTTGGAAGTTTTGCATAGGGGCGCCTGGGGAACTGTCTGTGGCAAGAACTTTGGTTCGCAATCAGCGAATGCCCTTTGCAAGAGTCTTGGTTTCGCCGATGGAGGGACCAGCAAGAGCAGATGCGCGATGCAGACCAAGTATGGAGGCTGCCAGCCCAACACCGACGATTCCACCCCAATCTGGCTCTCTGACGTCCAGTGCTTGGGTTTCGAAAGAGACATTGCTGGTTGCGCTCACGCGCCTTGGCAACAGTCGACCTGTACACACTCAGACGATATTGGGCTATGCTGTTCTGGTGAACGGGGCCCTGCACCGAAACCTCCCGCTCCTCGTGGAGGACAGCTTGATTGGAAGCCAGGCCAGACAACGGAGGCGCGCAAAGGAGGAGCGTCCCTCGCTACCCCATGGGGTGTCGGCAAGTCGACTGAGGAGGATGGTTACCATTTCAGCAAGGGAGCAGGACTGGCTGCGGATCAAGGCAGGCACATGAACCCTTTCGAATATTCAATTCTTCTAGAAGTTCGATTTGACAAAGTTGACGGGTAATTGTCCTCCATGTTCATGATTTTGATGTCTAACTCGATATCATAGATCCATGAAAATTCTCGATTCTGCAGGATGGGGGAGCAGTGGACTGTATGTTCGTGGAACGGTCACGCTTTATCCTGACACAAGCATCAAATGTATCGAACCGATCCTGCCCAACATTTGGTACAAAATCATTCTTTCACGCTCTCAAGATGGAATTGTCAGTTTGTACTTGAACGGATATCTGTAAGAAGTTCTTCTCTTTCTTCGAACCAGGTTCGGTTCACTTATTTTTGCGCTCAGGTGTGGCGAGGGAAGGCCTGAGGAAGCAAATCATTTGGCTTTGAACCCGCATGATGTCAACTTCTTCCATGGCGACGGTAGAACGCTTCCGCAGGGAGATGTGAAGCAAATCAAGATGTGGAATCGTACTCTGTCCAACGAAGAAGTTCGTTCGTCTGCCAAGTGTATCGATCTTGACAAGGCGAAGACTTGTGACAACACCATATCCTTTTCTGTTAGTGCACCTCGCACAGCATACTCCAGTGTCTTGGGAGGAGATCAACCAGGCGAAGGGAATGCGCGGGGAAGGTTAAACTCTAAGGCAGCATGGTGTGCTGCCTCCAACCAGATTGGAAACTACATGCAGATGGACACTGGATCTGCTCAAACCATCCTAGGTGTAGTAATTCAAGGCAAAAAAGATGGCAACTCATGGGTGAAAGGATTCAAAGTTCAAGTCTCGAACGATGGTCAATCATTTGTTGATGCTTTCTGTGGCCAATACTTTACTGCCAATGATGATCGCAACACCAAAGTGAAGAAAATGTTCCCCTATCCCATTGATGCTAGATTTGTTCGAATCGTGCCATGGAGTTGGTATGGATCAATGTGCATGCGAGCTGGCTTGATCATTTGTGAGAAGCCGTGTGTCAATGGAGAGCTTGACTACCACTTTAGACAAGACTTTCTCTCTACTACGTTTGGACCTCCCCTGGATCCTTCGTGGGGAGAGGGAAACTTTGTCGGGCCACTTGGGCCTTATGAATTTCCAGCTGGCAAAGGTTTGCAACTGGAACGCAAGAGATGTATCACTGGAAATGCGTGGACGATCTTGATCACCGCCAGTCTCGATGACACTGAAGGCTGGCGTAGAATCGTGAACTCAAAAGGTTGGGGCGACACTGGCGTCTTCGTGAACAACGTGTACCAGATCTATCCCACGTCCTCGGAGATAGCATGCCAAGAACAAATCGTCCCGAAAAAGACATACATATTTGGTGTTTCCCGCAGTGCCGCTGGTGAAATCAAGCTTTTCCTCAATGGTGAGATGTGCTCCAAGGGTTCGCCAGATATAAGCAACAAGTTCTCATTAGATCTCAATGACATGCAGTTCTTCCATGATGACGGTGGACAAGATTCTGCTGGACAGGTAGCTAGAATTCAGATGTGGAATCGACAGCTGGATGATCAGCAAGTTGCTATCCTCTGTGATTGTAAGCTTCCACAAATTGGTACCGAATGCGAAAACAGGATCAACTTCGTCCCGCCAAATCAGCTCATCACGTACTCTTCTGTCTGGTCAAACGATGCTCCTGGTGAAGGGCACGGACGAGGACGCCTCAACTCCAAACAGGCATGGAGCTCATTGAAGAATGAAGTCGGACAATTTATGGTGCTTGATACCGGAATGGTCCAAAGTATTGTTGGAGTTGTGACACAAGGCAGACACGACCTCAGCCAGTGGGTCACGTCTTTCAGTGTCCAAGTCAGTGAGGATGGCCTGCACTGGAAGGATGTACACTGCGGTAGAGTATTTCCTGGAAATGTAGATCGTGACAGCAAGGTGAAAACTGTTTTTGGCTACCCCGTTCGCGGACGGTATGTCATGATCGAGCCACAGACATGGTATGGACATATGTCCATGAGGGCAGGAGTCTTGCTCTGTGAAAGGCCTTGCGAAGGAAATGAGCTTGACTATCGCTTTCAAATGTCTTTCTTGTCTGCTACACATGGTCCGCCCCTTCTGCCATATTGGGGAGAAGGCACTTTCGATACTCCAGAAGGCCCATACATCTTCTCTGCTGGCAAAGGTTTCCGCATTGAACAATCTCGTTGCCTCACAGGATCGGCCTACAGCATCATCATGGAACTTGCCTTGGATGACACAACTGGATGGCGAAGGCTCCTGTCCTCCGATGGCTGGGATGACAACGGCCTGTATGTCAACGAGAACCTCCAGCTATTCCCCAAATCAGCCAATGTTCGTTGCCCCGAACTGATCCGACCGAAGCAGATGTACAAGATTGGAATGGTTCGCAGTGATTCTGGTTCAGTCTCGTTGTACCTTCACGGAGCCAAATGTGCATCTGGGGAGCCGCTGTTTAGCGACAAGTTCCAAATGAGCACCAAGTGGGTGGATTTCTTCCATGATGACGGATCTGAGAACAGTGCTGGTACGATCAAGAGACTAAGACTCTTCGGCAAGGCTCTTTCTGATGTCGAAATGGCCACATACTGTGGTTGCACTCTTGCCAAGTTTGGTAAACCTTGTTCCAAGTTCATCATCTTCTCCCCACCAGATTACAACTATGCATATTCTGGAGTTTGGGACAACAACCCTGTTGGAGTATTGCATGGCAGGGGCAGACTTCGATCTCCACAGGCTTGGTCTGCTAAGCAGAACAAAGTCGGTGAATGGATGCAGATTGATGGAGGAGAAATTCAAAGTATCGCTGGCGTTGTTGTGCAGGGTCGACGTGATTGGGATCAATGGGTGACCACATTCAAAGTCGAGGTCAGCGATGATGGCGGCAAGTGGGTGGAAGTTGAATGTGGACGCATCTTTGACGGAAACTCTGATCGTAACACCAAGGTGTATGTTCCTTTCCCAACCCCTGTTGTTGGACGCTATGTAAGGATTTACCCCCAGACCTGGACAAATCACATGTCCATGAGAGCGGCTATCCTTCTCTGCGAGAGGCCTTGTGTCGGCGGGGAGCTTGAGTACCGGTTCCGTGACAGCTTCATCTCCTCCACGAAAGGCCCCAGCATGGAGGCTCTGTGGGGTGAAGGAACTTTCGACGTCATGAAAGGATATCGGTTTGCCGATGGGCTCGGCTTGTCTGTTCTGCAAGACAGTTGCTTGAAAAGCAAGTCCTACTCAATTTATCTGCAGGCCCAGTTCGATGAAGTTAGTGGTTGGCACAAGATAATTGGCTCTGATGGATGGGGTGACTCTGGATTTTATGTCAACACGCAATTCCAGAGCTTTCCCACGGCATCGGGATTGAAATGTGATGAGCAACTACGTCCTGGCGTGCAATATCAGTTTGTCATCACCAGGAGTTCGGATGGAGAGATCAAGCTCTACCTCAACGGATGGCTTTGCGAAACAGGCTCTCCACCCTATGACAACGGTTATCAGCTGGAAGAATCTGGAGTTTGGTTCTTCCACGACGCTGGAAGCAAAGATGCCACGGGATACGTCCGTACCCTCAAGATGTGGGATCGCGCTCTCTCTGACGCTGATATTCTCACCGAATGCGCTTGCACACTTCCGAAACCTGCCACCGCGTGCGATCATCACGTAGTTGTGAACCCTCCTGACATGCAACTTCAATACTCATCCGTGCTCTCCGGGTCTGCTCTGGGAACTGGATATGCGCAAGGAAGACTTAACTCCCCCAATGCATGGATCGCATCGTCGTCCACATCAGGCCAGTTCATGACCATCGACATCGGGGAGGTTCTCAGCGTTTCTGGAGTTGTTACGCAGGGTAGAAGAGTCGCAAACCAGTGGGTCACGGCGCTGCAGGTGCAAGTCAGCGAAGACGGACGATCTTTCGTGCCTGTAGAGTGTGGCCGCACCTGGGATGCTAACACAGACTCCAACACTAAAGCCAGGATACTGTTCAGCGCTCCTGTCAAGGCTCGATATGTCCGTATCCTCCCTCAGACTTGGAATGGGCTGATTGCTCTGAGAGCGGCAGTGCTTGTATGTGAAAGGCCATGCAAGGATGGACAGCTTGACTATGAATTCCGTGGATCTCTTACGTCGAGCACAAAAGGACCTGGTTTGGTCGCAGAGTGGGGAGACGGAAATTTTGACGAGGACGAGGGATACGAGTTTGCTAAAGGCACTGGTCTTTCCCTTCCTGTGGGTCGTTGCATCAAGGGCAACGAGTACACAATCTACATCCTGGCTAAACTCCAAGAGACAACCGGTTATCGCAGAATGTTGAGCTCGGATGGCTGGGTTGATAATGGAATTTACGTCAACACCTACTTCATGACGTTCCCACCTGTCGGAGGTTTGAGGTGCAGAGAGATCATCCGACCGGACAGATGGTACCAGTTTGTGATTTCGAGGAAGGACGATGGAACAGTCACTTTGTATCTGAACGGATTCCCTTGTCAGTCCGGCAAACCTTCTTATGCTGAGAACTACAAGCTCAACCCTGAGGACATTTCTTTCTTCCACGATGATGGCCAAGAGAACTCAGCAGGCACCATCAGAAAGATCAAGATTTGGGACTCTGCCCTGGACACTAAGAAGATTTTGGAGGAGTGCAAATGTTTCCTGCCATTGCCCGGAAAGCCTTGCGACGCTTTCATCGTACTGAATGCCATGTACAATCAAATCAAGTACTCCTCGGTTCGTGGAAATTCCGCAGTCGGAACAGGAAACGCGCAGGGAAGGCTCAACTCGCCAGCATCGTTTTCTCCGGCCACGACGCGTGATACTGAGTGGATGCAGATCGACACAGGGGATGTCCAAAGTATCCCTGGAGTTGTGATTCAGGGAAGCGTACAGAACCAATGGGTCACTTCGTTCAAGGTTGAAGTCAGTGATGACGCGGAGGTTTGGACTAAAGTTGAGTGTGGACGCGTGTTTGATGGAAACGAGGATTCTACCAGCAAGGTCAAGGTCTTATTCAGCACACCGGTGAAGGCACGCTACGTGAGGCTGTTTCCAGTGACTTTCCAGGGATGGCCAGCATTCAGATTCGGAATTCTCCTATGTGAAAGGCCCTGCGAGAACGCTGAGCTTGACTTCCGCTTCGTTGAGAACTTCAGGTCCAGTACCAAGGGCCCGTCACTTGACACTCCATGGGGCTCAGGCACCTTCGACAGTGCTAAGGGATACCGTTTCTCCAAGGGTCAGGGACTTCAATTGGACGAGTACAACTGTATCAACCGCACGGCCTACACAATCTACATGTCTGTGTCTTTGGACAGCGTCGATGGCTACAGGCGTCTTATCGGATCCGATGGATGGGATCAGAACGGCCTGTTCGTGGACAAGAGAGTGACTACGTTCCCGGCTGGGGGAGCCCTTCAATGTGAACAAATGATCCAGCCTGGCGAGTTGTATCAGTATGTCCTCTCAAGGGGCTCCGATGGCAACGTGAAGCTGTATCTCAATGGATACCTCTGTGCATCCGGGAAGGTTCCATACGCCGAAGGCTACAAGCTGTCGCCGCACGAAATCACCTTCTTCAAAGATGACTCCTCCAGAGAATCTGCCGGTTATGTCCGAAAGATCAAGATGTGGGACAGACAACTCTCTGATGAAGCAGTCGCTACTGAGTGCGGGTGTGTTCTGACAACAGCCGGTGAGGAGTGCGATGAGGAGGATGTCGTAATCTACGCCGCCAAGGACGAGAACTACAAGTTGTCTTCGGTCAACCAGAACGACAGGGTTGGAGTGGGCTATGGTGCAGTCAGGCTCAACTCTCAGACTGGATGGATTCCCGCAACCCACCAGAAGGGACAATACGTGCAGATCGATCTGGGAAGCCTGAGGAGTATCCGCGGTGTGGTCACCCAAGGGAGCAAGAACGTGGGCTGGTGGGTCACCACCTTCATCGTTGAAGTGAGTGATGACGGCGCTTCTTGGAAGCAAGTGGAGTGCGGGCGCATCTTCAATGGCAACAAGAACCAGAACACGGAGGTCGACACCATGTTCTCTGCCAGCGTTCAGGGCCGTTATGTACGAATCTTTCCCCAGGCGTGGTATGGAGGCATCGCGCTAAGAGCTGCTGCTCTGATATGTGAGGAGAAGTGCCAAGCTGGAGCTCTTGAATATAGATTCCAGGGCACTTTTGCCTCCAGCACTCTTGGACCCATGCTACAGGCTGGTGACAAAGTCGGTGAATTCAATCTTGATGGGAGCGTGTGGCAGTACACATTCAATGCTGGCGAAGGCTTCACTTTGGATGAAGGAAAGTGCATCACTCCTTCTGAATACACAGTCGTCATGTACATGAAGGTGAAGTCGACAGATGGGAAGAAGCTGATTATGGGTTCATCCTCGTGGGGCAACAATGGCCTCTTCGTGGACACGATCCTGAAGATGTACCCTGTGAACTCTGAACTTCAATGCGATGAGCGCGTTTGGAACGACCGGTGGTACTCCTTTGGACTCACGAGGTCTGCCGAGGGCGTGGTCTCTCTCTACATGAACGGATTTCTCTGTGCGTCAAAATCTGCCAAGAACTTTGATGGATACAAGTTCGCAGCGCACGATATCAACTTCTTCAACAGCAAGGCCGGCTTCAACTCCGATGGTGACATCCGAAGTTTGCAGCTGTGGAAAAATGCGAAGAATCCTGGTGAAATGGCAAGCTTGGCGGGCTGCTCGTTGCCAGAGACTTCAGACAAGCAGTGCAAGAACACTATTCTCTTGAACGTCCCGTATTCCCGTCACACTTACTCAGACGCTAGTTGGCAGCCTGGCCAAGCCGCGTGGTCTCAAGGTCAGATCAACGCACAGTACTGTTGGCGACCCAATCGTTTGGTCATGGGCGGCATCTATCCTCCTTATGAAGGTGGTATCTGGATGCAGATGGACACAGGGCGCGAGCAGAGCATTGCTGGCATTGCAACTCAAGGTTACTCAGGATCGAACAACTACGTCAGCTATCTGTCGGTAAAAGTGAGCAAGGACGGTGCGTCTTGGCTCGACGTGGCCTGTGGAAGGATCTTCGAGGCAAGCACGGACTCGTCTACCATCAAGAAGATCCTCTTCCCAGAGCCAGTGATCGCTCGGTACGTCAAGATCTTCCCTCAAAAGTACGTCAACTATCCAGATATCCGGGCTGCTGTGCTCCTATGCGAGAAGAAGTGTCAGAGTGGACAGCTGGATTATCAGTTCGACAGCGCTTTTACTTCCTCCACAGACGGACCGATGCTGGACAACCCATGGGGAGTTGGCTCCTTTGATGACAAGAATGGATGGTACAGGTTTTCAGCATCCCAGGGGCTTGCTCTGGATGCTGCAGAGTGTCTCAATGACAAGACCTGGACTGTGGTGATCGACGCGAAGCTGGATACGATCAGCAGCTGGAGGCAAATCTTCGGCACCGATGCCTGGAAGAACGACGGGCTGTACGTGAACAACAAATACCAGTTCTTCCCACAGTCTTCGAATCTTTACTGCGACGAAGTTTTGAGGCCTGATAGGTTTTATCAGTTCGGTCTTTCAAGGGCGGACGATGGAACTGTTTCTATCTGGCTCAAAGGATTCTTGTGTGCTTCGAGCAAAGTAGAAATGCATGACGATTTGAAGCTGGATACGAGCCACATCGCGTTCTTCCATAGTGATGACAACAACAAGAATACTGCTGGCTACTTGAAGAGAATCCGTATGTGGAACAAGGCTCTTACACAGAAAGAAATGGCGTCAGCCTGTCAGTGCAGTCTGACTGAGCCTGTCGATTCCGACTGCAAAGGCACTATCATCGCCAATTTGCCCTATGACAAGCACAGCTTTTCATCATCCTGGGCCAACGACGCGGCTGGATACAGATATGCTACAGGTATGCTGGACTCGCCTGAAGGCTGGTTATGTAACAACGCCCAAGTTGGCTTCGAGAATGGTTGCTGGTTCCAACTTGATTCTGGTAAAGTTCAGAACATTGCTGGCGTTGTCACTCAGGGCCGGGCGTACGGAAATTGGTGGGTGACAGCCTACGGCGTGAAAGTCAGTGAAGATGGTGAGAGGTGGACAGAAGTTGCCTGTGGAAAGGTGTTTGAGGGCAATTCAGACTCCAATACCAAAGTACAGAACGTGTTTCCTGGCCCTGTAAAAGCACGATACGTCAGGATCTACCCGATGTACTATTACAGCCACCCTGCCTTGCGTGCAGGTTTGCTTGTCTGCGAGAGGAAGTGTGAGGATGGCAAGTTGGACTATGGCTTTGAACAGGCTTTGACTTCGTCGACTGGTGGGCCGATGTTGACGACACCATGGGGAGCTGGAAAGTTCGCGGATGTGCTAGGAAAGACGGCGTATCAGATGTCAGGTGGTCAAGGGTTGCAGTTGAATCCATCTGAATGTATCAAGGGTAAAGCTTACACTATCATCATGGATGCGTTGCTTTCCTCAGTGTCTGGCTCCCTGCAGATCTTTGGCACCGATAGCTGGGAGACTGACGGTTTCTTCGTCAACAAAGTCTTCTCTATGCAGCCTGACGACCTCAAGCTCATCTGTAACGAGGAGATTAAGGACAATCGTTGGTACAAGTATGGGCTTACCAGAACTGAGGACGGTGTGGTATCTGTCTATCTCAATGGGTTCTTATGCAGTTCAGCGAAACCAAAATATCGAGATGGCTATAAGCTTGGTGACAAGCTGAACTTCTTCCGAGCGCAGGCCGGTCAGCAGCCCAACGGCTACATGGATCGGCTCAGGCTGTGGAACAAGGCTCTGAAGCCTGATGAGCTGGCGAGAGAGTGTGGATGTGTCCTGCCGACGGACGGCTCCAACTGCTCCAACACAGTCACCATCAACCCAGACTACAAGCGCCATCGGTATTCCTCTGTCTATCAGAATCGCGAGGTGGGCACAACCTACGGGGAAGGGATGCTCAATTCACCGACTTGCTGGTTACCCAACTCCGCCAAAACCGGCTTTCAGGATGGAGAGTGGATGCAGCTGGATGCCGGTGATGCTACCACAATCCTAGGCGTCGTGACGCAGGGAAGAAATGATGCTGGTTGGTGGACAACGGAGTACATGGTGAAAGTGAGCACAGATGGCAAATCCTGGGCTGATATTGCGTGCGGGAGGATCTTCCAAGGAAACACTGACATGAGTACCAAAGTGTACAACCTCTTTCCTTCAAGTGTGAAGGCGCGATATGTCCGTATCTACCCTTACTCGTACCACGGTTACCCGTCGCTACGAGCTGGCTTGTTGACATGTGAAACCAAATGCAAAGACAAGATGCTTGATTACACCTTCGACATGTCATTCGCTTCAGTCACGGGAGGCCCCATGCTTACTTCGGACAAGGGGGAGGGCACCTTTGACGTGAAAGACCAGAGCTATCGATTCGCTGCTGGGCAAGGTCTGGTGCTGGACGAGAGCAGGTGCATTAAGCCTGAGAGCTGGAGTACCGTTATCGAAGCTAGGCTCGACACGATCTCAAATTGGAGGCAAATCTTCGGTGCAGATTCTTGGTCAACGGACGGTGCATTTGTCAACAACAACTTCAAGTGGAACCCTCCCATCGATGGCCTTGACTGCGATGAAGTGATCAAGGCAAACCAATATTACCAGTACGGCATCACCGAGTCAGAAGGTGTCGTTTCCCTCTACCTGAATGGATACTTGTGCGGCAGTGCCAAGAGCTCCAACAAAAAGGGCTACCAACTGGATCCCAACAACATTCGATTCCTCGCGGGTACTTCGTCCTCGACATCATCTGCTGGGTACGTCAGACGCATCCGAGTATGGGGCAAGGCCTTGGACGAGGATGCCATGGCAGACGCTTGCAACTGCAAGCTTGCTGAAGCTTCTGAGGGCTCATGCCCTGCCTCTATCGTCTTGAACGTCAATTATGACAAGCACAGATTTTCGGCTAGCTGGGGCAACTACCCGGCTGGCGAGGTGTATGCTCGTGGAATGCTGGACTCTCCTGACGCCTTCATTCCTCCGGAACCATACACCGGGCTTGAAGGCCATTGGCTCCAACTAGATACTGGAGAGGTTCAGGGCATCGCGGGTGTAGTGATCCAGGGACGTAATGCTGGAAACCAATTCCTGAGAAGCTTTTTCGTCAAGATTTCTACAGATGGAAATACCTGGCAGAACGTGGAGTGCGGTAGATCGTTCAATGCAAACACAGACACCAGCACCAAGGTCAATGTGTTCTTCCGAGTACCGTTGAAGGGACGATTCATCCGCATCTACCCTGACGTGTACAACAACTATCCTTCCTGGCGTGCTGGCGTGTTGGTGAGTTCATCACGTTAGTTACGCCCATGTTGACTGTTCGTTTCAGGTATGTGAGAAGACCTGCAAGGACAAGCACTTGGACTATAATCTTAACAATGGCGGGCTAACGTCCTCAACCAACGGCCCGATGTTGGTGCAGTCTGGTTCCGGTGACTTTATGAGTGTGAGTCATCTACATCTGTTGCTGCCAAATGGATTGCAACTGAGAGCTTGAGCGCAGTATGGATACCACTTTACTGCTGGCAAGGGACTTGAGCTTGACGAGAAGGTAACAAGCCAAGCAGCAGAGAAGCTGTTGGCCAGGGAATCTCTCTAACCTGCCATCCAGGCGTGCATCTCCAAGGGCACCACTTACTCTATCCTGATAACTGGGAAGATCAAGACAGCCACGGGGCAACGCATGGTAATAATGATCAGTTACCGTCGTTTCCCTTCATTCACATCGAATGTACAGATACTGCAGTCAGGGAGCTGGTTTCCCGACGCAAGTCTTTCTGTGGACGGTGGGCACTTTGGGGTATGTGACTGTGAATGTGACCTTGATCGCCTTGATTCGTCTCGCAGCTTCTGCCTGGCACAGCTGGACTGGAGTGCTCGTGGGTAATCTTCCCAGACATTGAGTACGACTTCGGTATTACGCGCAGCAGCGATGGTACATTGCTCGTGACTGCCCTGTGTTGAACTCTCCTCACTTTTCAAAACAGACACTGTCTCTCTGTACTTGAATGGTTACCGATGTGCTGTCGGCAAACCCAAGAACAAGGATGGGTTCAAGCTCGATCCCGAGTCTTTGATCTTCTTCAAGGCTAATCCCACGTATGCTACCGAAGGCTGGGTCAAGGTAATCATGACTGCCCTTGTTCCTTGATTTCATGAAGCTCACTCGGATGCAGCGAATCCAAATCTGGGAAGAAACTCTAGACAAATCTAAGATGGCGACAGCTTCAGGCTGTGTGCTAGGAGTGACCTCGGACGACAAGTGTTCCGAGGTAAATGCGCTGCACATCCTTATCTTTGACGCGCTCGTTGACATCTTCCCCGCAGCCGCTGGAGTACAACGCTAAGTATAATCGGATGCGCTTTTCAAGCATCTGGGCCAATGATGCTGTAAGGACAGTGGTGTCTTATGGCAGGTTCTTTACAGTCTGATGCAGGTCGGTGCGGGGCATGGTCGTGGTCGTCTTGATTCGGTGCAAGCATGGAGCGGCTATGGTCCATATGAACCAAGTAAGATAAAGCACCTTTACTCGAGTTGGTTATTGATTTGTGCTGCTAGATGCGCAATGGATGCAGATAGATGTTGGAGAGGTGACGGCTATTGCGGGAGTAGTCACGCAAGGACGATACGACTCGTATCAGTTTGTGACGATGTACACCGTCAAGTCTAGCTTGGATGGAAATGATTGGACGGAAGTTGAATGCGGAAGGATCTTCCAAGGAAACGGGGATCAGAACTCGCGTGTGACCAACAAGTTCACTCAGCCAGTCAAAGCTAGATACATCCGCATTTATGTCTACGAGTGGAGAAATCATCCAAGCATGCGAGCAGGTCTTCTGGTCTGCGATCAGACAATCGTCGCGGGCAAGCCGTCGCTCTGGACCCTGCGAGTCTTCAAGTCCAACAGTCCTCCCACCGACATGCCTGATGTCTCAACTCTTACATACGTCGGCCAGGTGAGGCTCTATCCATGCTTCCACGTTCATTGTCTGACTTGTCAAACAGGGTACGTGCCCCTATATCGATTTCTCCAGCGGGAAAGACTTCAGAACGTGTGTACCTGGCATTCCCGACAAGAACTTCGTGTCTCTCATCGAAGGTCACGTCAAGATTGTGAAGGAGGGTGACTACAAGTTCTGCTCCATGTCCTCTGATGGGTAAGGTGCTGCTTGAATGATGGTTTGTTGTGACTTTCCCTGTACAGATCGATCATCAAGATTGATGGCAAAGACGTCGTTGACAACAGCGCCAAGCACGCAGCCGTTGAGAAGTGTGGGACGACGACGATGAAAGCAGGAGATCACCTGGTTGCCATTCAGTTCTTCCAGAGTGATGGGGAGGTGAAGTTGGTAGCCACCTACAAAGGGCCGGACACGGAGTCTCAACAGATTCTGCTCCCATCAGATGACTTTAAGATGACCGTCTACAAGTCAGCGAGTGACTTGACTAAGATGCCGGAGCTCTCCACCTTGACTCAGCTTGGGGTGAAAGTTCATATCCCTGATGTGGACTTCGAGGACCTGGACGACTTCAAGAAGTACTTCCCCGACTCCCCAGACATGAACTTTGCTGCACAATTCTGGGGCACTTTCAAGATTGAGATGGAAGGGAACTATCGATTCTGTACCACATCGTCCGATGGCTCTAAGTTTTGGATTGACGACAAACTGGTTGTCAACAACGGTGGTGCCCATGGCGAGCGTAGGTACTGTGCGGACGTCAAGATGTCTGCGGGGAAACACAATGTGAAAGTTTGCTGTGACACTTTGAGGGTTCCTTAATGTTGTTGCAGGCATACGGCGAGTACTTCAAGCGAGAAGGCTCGCTGAGGATGAAAATCACGTACCAGGGAGCAGACACTGACGACCGGGAAGTGAATCTGAGGAGTGACGGGGCTGAGGCCCCTGCTCTTGCTCCAGCTTCTCAGTGGCTCATGCGACTGTTCAAATCGGATTCTGACTTGTCCGACGTGCCGAATGTCAACCTGCTGAAATTCCTCGGGTCGACTGAAGTTCCAGGCATCGACTTCGACGAATTGAGCGAGTTCCAAAAGGTAATCACCACATGGATGCGTTTTTGTTTCCATCTGACTTCATTCCTTGAAGTACTATGTCAACCTCAAATCCGTTGAAAACACGGCCGCCCAGTGGTATGGCCAGCTTCAGATCAAGCAACCTGGAAACTACTTGTTCTGCACCTTCTCAGAAGATGGGTAAGTAGAGCGATTGTTCTCTTCTCTCAGATTATGACGCCATTTTTTTTTCTTTTTTTGCGAAACTTAGATCTCATTTGTGGCTCGGGGGCGATCAGTTGATCAACAATGGAGGGCGTCACGGAAACAGACAGTACTGTGCATGGAAGGTTGGAACGAGGCTACGCCTGTTTGTTGGTTTTGATGCTCTTTCATGCAGAACAACTTGCAAGCTGGGCTCTATCCCATGAAGGTTGACTGGTTCTCTTTCGACAAAACATTCAACATCCAAGCAACGTACCGAGGGCCTGACACTGACAACGAGTACGTTCTTGTCCCAAGTAAGGTGGCCAAAGGCCCTCCGATACCCAAGAATTCAGCATGGACCATGAAAGTCTATGCTTCGAACAGCATGCCGTACGACTTCGGAATGCCGGACGTCTCTGCCATGACGGCAGTGGCGGACACTGAAGTCCCTTTCATCGACTTCGACAATCTCAACGATTTTCGAAAGGTTGTTGAATCCGAAGTGCGCCCATGAGCTCCTGACCAGCTTTTGCTTGCAGTATGTGCCACGATTGAGTGACACCAACATCGCAGCAGTGATCGACGGCCACATCGATGTCGAGAAGGAGGGATCCTATGAGTTCTGCGTCAACTCCGATGACGGAACCCGATTCTCTCTTGACAACAGCGTCCTGATCGACCTCAACATCGGCAAGAAATGTGTCACCACCAGCCTCTCTGAGGGCAAGTATGCTGCTAAGGTCTGGTGGTATAACGGCGGTGGTTACGCATCGCTCAAGCTGGAATGGAGGTGCTTCACCTCCCTGTTCTTCGCTCTGTCGCTGACTTGATGGTGCAGCGGACCCGACACAGACAACAAGAACGTGCTGGTGCTTGCGAGCGATTGGGAGATGCAGATGTACCTTTCCTCCGAGACGCTTACCAGCACGCCAACCACCACGAGGGCATTGAAGGAACTTGGGTACAAAGTCAAGATCCCTGCCATCGACTTCGCTGGTATTCAAGACTTCCGGAGGGTAAGCCGCTTCGTCTCCCTGCATGTCCCGCTAACTCTGCGCCTCTCAGTTTGTTCCTGGTATCCCCGACAATTCGTTTGCCCTTGTCTTTGGTGGGCAGCTCGAGATTATCAACGCGGGTAGCTACACCATCTGCGTGGAGTCCAACGACGGTTCGAAGCTCTACATCGGAGGGAAGACCATCGTCGACAACCCTGCGAAGAGAACCTACACACAGAAGTGTAGCGTGGTAGACCTCAAGGCCGGTGTGCAGGACATCATGGTCAAGTACTACGACGAGTGCTGCGGCGAGCGGCTCAAGGCCACATATGCCGGTCCAGACACTTGGGAGATTCAGGAGTACATCCCCAGCATAGTCCCCAAGGAGCCGAAGCTCCCGCCTCAGTCCAAGTGGACGATGCGTCTCTACTCTGCGCCTTACAACCCAGAGAACGTGCCGGACTTGGCATGGCTGGACTATCTGGGACAGGCGTACTGCCCGAACATCGACTTTGACAAAACCGAGGAGCTTGACCAGTACATCGCCAACATCCCTCAACAGAATGTGGTCGGAGCGTGGTACGGCAAGGTAGAGATCACTCAGGCGGGCTCGTACGACTTCTGTTTGTCGTCGGACGATGGCTCGAAGATGTACTACGATGATCAACTGATCGTCAACAACGACGGTGCTCGGCCGTTCCCCTGATGCTGTTTCGCTCACCATGTGCCCAGGGCGACATGGCGAGACGAAGAAGTGCGCTACTTTGAGCGATGTCAAGGCCGGCAAGCACACCGTCTCCATCCTCTGGTTCAATGTGAGTTCCTTCCGCCCTCTTCCTCGCTGTAACTGACGAGCTTCTCAGAGTGGCGGAAGTGGTTTTGCCATCCGCGCGACATACAAGGGGCCGGACACGTTTGGATCGGAGCACTTCCTCGGCAGCTCCGAGGAGTGGGCCCCGGCTCCAGTGAAGCAGTCCAAGTGGTATGCCAAGCTCTACGAGTACAAGGGGAAGCGCCAGTCGGTTCCGGACTTCGACAAGGACCTAGTACTCAAGGACAAGGCTGTTGTGCCCTTCATCAAGTTCGACTCCTGGTCGGACTGGACGACGGTGGGTCTGCCTTGCGTCGTGCTGCCATCCCTGACGTCACTTTCAGTTCTTCAAGAAGCCTCCGTCTAACAGAGTTGCATGGCTATTCCAGGGCCGAGTGCCCATCAACAAGGCAGGAAAGTATCTTGTTTGCTCGCTCTCAACCTACGGGTAAGTCCTGTCGACCGACCCGTCCGGTCCTCACGGCATTTTGCGCAGCTCGCTTGTGTACATCGACGACAAGGAAGTCGTGAACAACGACGGAGAGAACAAGGACAAGGAGATTTGCTCCTTTGTTACGCTAGAGGCGAAGACGTACGACGTAGTTGTCAAGGGATACTCCGACAACTCTTGGATGACTCAAGTCTTGACTTACAGGTAATGGACTTCTTATCTCCTTCCCCCTCCTTAACCCCTTCCTCTTCTATCCTCTTCCTTCCCTCGTTCCCTCCCTCGCTCTCTGAAACGATTGTGACCCGACGTCTGCAGCGGGCCCGATACCAACGACAAGAAGGTTTTGATGAATGCCAACGGTGACGCAGCTGCGAAGAGTGAAGGCGACGGCAAGGGAGAGGGCAAGGGCAAGGGCAAGGGCGAAGGCAAAGGCAAGGGCGAAGGCGAGGGCAAAGGCAAGGGCGAGGGCGAGGGCAAGGGCAAGGGCAAGGGCGAGGGCAAGGGCGAGGGCAAGGGCGAGGGCAAGGGCGAGGGCGAGGGCAAAGACAAGAAGTAGATTAGAGGGTTGTCGAGTTAAAGGGGTAACAGCAAAGTTTACTCCCCGCCACATAATCTTTTGGGTAGAGCGACCAGTTCGATATTTTTACAAGTAGTCCAGACCAGAATAAAGCAACAGCTACATATTTCCAGCATGTCAAAACCTTCCTGTTGCCAGCCTCTCGTTCAACTTGTTCTGCCTCTTAACCTTCTTCTTCTGAATCGCCAACTTCATCCCTGCCCTCCCCGTTGTCACCACAGCCGTCATCCCCTCTTGAAAACTTCACCTGGCGTTAGCGACTTGGGTCCCCTCCTCCTCTTAACGTGCGGGTCGCAGAGCTGGCGGGGGTTCGAGCTGGGGATCGTCAGCGAGGAGGAGGCGTCAGAGAGGAGCGGGTGACGTCACCTCCTGAAGTCTCTTCTAGGTACGATGGTGGCGTGCGTGCGAGACTCGGCCGGGGGCTCGTTGGGATTGAACCCTTGCTGACACGCCTGGGCCAACCAGAAGGCTGCGCATGTGAGGCATGGCAGCGCGAAGAGGGAGGAGGGAGGGGGTGAGAGGAGAGGGACATGGGAGGAGAGAGCAGGGGAGGAGGGGATGGAGAAGAGGCGGGGGGGTAGAAGTGGCCACCTGCTTGTTTCAGGTCCTTCTCTACCCCAATCCCCAGGTAAAAGCACGACCCTATCGCATACTGCGCCTGCTTCACACCCCCCTGAGCCGCACCCATGAACATCCGCGCGGCTTCAGCATCCTTGGGATCGGTTCCCCTGCCAAGCAGGTAGCAGACTCCCAGGTTGTACTGAGCCAGCAGGTGCTGCTTCTCTGCCGCCCGAGCATAGAAGGCGCACGCTAGGCTCGTGTCATGGCAGATCCCATGTCCCTTCCACATGGAGGCGGCAAGGTGAAACTCAGCGTCGGAGGACCCTTCTTCCGACGCCTCCAGGATCCAAGTCATCACCGCCTCGCGCATCCTCCTGCTCCAGCCCTGATCTGACCGAACGAGCCTGATGCCCTCTCGCTCCAGGTACTCCCTCGCGCGCGAGAGATCCTCCTGCTGGGCCCTCTCTTGGTACCTCCTCGCCGCCCCATCAATCGCTTCTTCGATCGCTGGTCCCCTCGTGATCGGATGCACGCGAGACAGCATGCCATGTACGTCGGCTCGCGATAGCAGGGGTCGAATAAAGATAAGCTGGAAAGTGCGCAAGTCAGAGGACAGTAAGAGGAGGACACGAAGAGTAGGACTGGGCAAAAAGAAGACCTTGAAAGAATCGCAACGTCTTGGCCATACATTGCAGGAAAGGTGGCAAAACCTGAGAAAGACGAAGCAGAACAAATTGAGACAAAGCCAAGAAGAGGAAGAAGAGCAATGAAGGAGCAAAATGATGGAGGGAGGGAGGGAGGGAGGGAGGGAGGGAGGCAGGCAGGCAGGCAAGAAACAAGAAGGAGGCAAGCAGAGATGGGGATGGCAGGAAGGGGGACAGGCAGGCAGGCAGGCAGGGGGCGAGGCAGCGATGCACGGAGGGAGGGAGAGAGGAATGGAGAGAGGCAGGCAGGCAGGCAGGCAGGCAGGCAGGCAGGCAGGCAGGCAGGGAGATGG